CTGATTTATTAACTGGATTTTTATCTTGCAGAAACACTATGCCAGAAAGTGAATTAAACTGTGCATGACAAAAATGAACCATCTGAACTTTACTTACTACTTTACTGCCTTCTTTTTTCTAAAAAAAGACAGCTGGAGAGAGCTTTCATTCATCTACACCAAGCACACAGCTATTCTATACATACAAGAATGACTACAAGAAAAATGTTCACATAATTTTAGTTCTGAGTGTACTGTGACACAGATATATTGTGAGTGGATATGTGTAATTACTGGGGTTGACTAAAACCATCTTCTGACAGCATGTTTTACATACAATTTCTGAAGGCAGAGAAATGGTGACTCAGAATTTCAAGGCTCTGCTTAAGCCATAGAACTAAAGCAATTTGTGTTGCCTTTATCCTCTTTGTTCTATCCCTAATGGAGCTCTCTTGGCTAGCTGTGTGTACCAGTCACATTCGTCAATGAATCTTTGTTCAATTCCAGTCTCTAATCATCAACTTTTTTTTATCCCTTGCCCACTGCTTTCCCCTACTACTACTCCTATTATCCTACTGAGGAAGCAGAGAATCCCCAATACACCCAACTTTCTGATAGAGAAAAATAACCATAAAGGAAAGAAAGTGGTAATAAACCCAAAAATAAACTATTAAGAAGAAAGAGATGCTTAGAAATGGGTAATGAAATACAGTGAAACCACAGCAACATCTCCAAAATAAAAATGTCCTTAATTCCTCATTTCTTTGTTTCACATACCTGTTTAAAGTTGTATGAACATGCCAGTCTCTACTTCTCCTGTAATTTACCGTGTCCTTAAGATATGTATGAACTCATTCAGAGAGGTTCTAACGAGCTTACTACTTCCTTTTGTCTTGCTTATGTGAATTTTTAATCTGTCAGGCATCTTGGTTATTTCTTTCTTTCCATCATTTACACTCAGCTTTTGCTGTTCTGATGCTTTGTTTTACTCTTTTGATGCTTGAAATGGTTAAGAAGCATTGTCTATCTTAAAGCTGCAAAATCTCTCCAAAAGCTTTCAAAGTCATTAGTGTCTTTTTAAAAAAACAACCAAACTAACTAACAAACAAATGTGGCAAACAATGGTGGCAGGGAGAATGTTCTGTATGGCAATGGAGTATATGCTAACAGATCTTAGTATATGATTTCTCCCCATTTCTTCCCCAAAATCTCTTACTGATCATTGTTAGAGACAGGAGACCAGACTAGACCTACATGGGTTGTGGCTCAATGTTACTGTTGTCTTGTGGCAACGAGAAAACCAAGTTTGAAGTGAGGACAAGCTTCCATAGTGCTGTTCTAAGAGCCAGTAGGGGCCATGGAGCTGAGAAATGCACGAAGCAACCACCTGTGCTAACACATGGTAAGCACAAACCTCAAGATCATGATTTTTTTGTTTAGAGCTTAATCCTTTTCTGTCCTCAGTACAGACATGAGGGCCCAGAGGAGAGAATATGTGAAGGACAAATAAATTCAAAACTAAGTTTTCAAGTGGACATGATAATTCAATCATTGTCAGAGGGGATAAATACCCTGAGATTAGCTCAGGTGGTTAGAGTGATAGAGTTATAGTGCTAATAATGCCAAGGTTGCAGATTCAAACCCAGTACAGCCTATTTGCTTAAAAGTTGGACTTGATGATCCTTGTGGATCCAACTTCCAACACAGATTATTCTGTAATTCTGTAATTCAAATAACGAAGTAAAATGAATAATAAACTGGGAAAAAGAGTGAAAAGAAGCCCTAAGAGAAGTGGAGGCTATTTAGCTGCTTTGTAACTTCCCAGGAAAGAGAAAAAACAAGCAAACAATATAAACCATAACATTACAAGTAAAAAAAAAATATCTATATTCTAAAAAAAAATTTTAAAGTATGTTTATAAAAAATCTTGTTGATACAGGAAAAAGTAAATTTTGGTGCACAAAAGGAAACTTCCTAACACAGACACTCTTTAATTACTCTGTTTTAGTTTACTGCTATTGTTGTTGGCACAGCTTCATTCTTTATGCAAATTAATTCAAAAATTCAGATACAGTTTCATTTTACTTTTCTTAATCTTAGTTGTATTAAACTGCAGATTTAATTCCCCCATCAGTTTATTACCTTGAAGACTTAGAAGTATTATGGTTGCCCTTTTATGGTAAAGTTTATTGATATTCACCTTTAAAACTGGATTTCACCATTTTATTCTTTATGCATAACACTATTATGTCCATGTTATCCAAAACTAATGTCCAAGAAAAGCTATAGGCTTGGTCACATCATTTTTATGATGTTCTTCATGTCTGCAGTTTCAAGTTTCCAAGAAAAGCTATAGGCTTGGTCACATGATTTTTATGATGTTCTTTATGTCTGCAGTTTCTTTCAGAAGGGCAAAGGAATGAAATGTAGTAGATGATCCTTGACACTTCGATTTCTGCTCAACAGGTTGCTGCCTGGTGTCTTCTATTCCTTCAGCTATTATAAATTCAACCTGTAAACAATCCTCTCCTCTTTCAAAGCAAGTCCACAATAGGATTCATAAAGTTTAAAATAAAGACAGAGCCTTAGGTGAATAATTCATATGCATTCCACAGCCCCATATTATTGACTAAGATCTATATCATTCAAAGTAGAGAGTCCTGTGAAAAACCAGTTTGGAATGCCCATTGGCATTCCTAACAGAGATACAAAAACCTGAGAGCACAGGAAGTATACAATGCTATTATTTTTAAATATTGGTGTTTTCAGCTAGGGTAGAATGAGGGAAACACTTACTTTATTAGTTTTCTGCAGTTATTTTCCTTTAAATGGTTTTTGGGCTCAGCTTTCACAGTGCAGAACACAGACATCTTTCCAAGTTCTTAAATTCAGGGAAAGAATAAAGTAAAATGTTATTAATACATTATCCCATCACTTCTCAGAATAAAGAAAGCTACATTAATTTGTTAAAAGAGATATAGATGAAACAGCAAGCCACTACTGAATTTAAACATGAAATTCCACATCTTTCTCATAGTTCTAGCTTATCTGAGTAAGACTTTATTATGACATCTCAACAGACAGAAAAACTCATGTAAATTTTAAACAAAATCAGGTGTTTAGAAACGCATTGAATATGATCATGAACTTGAAGGAATACATTCCATAGGAAAAAGAAATCTGAAGACACAGGAAGTACCAGCCTTTCAAAGTGAGAGGTGGTATGGAAAGAAGTCCTATACTTAATATAAATCAATTCTAGTTTGCATGTTTTAAATTAACATAAGCTACTGCTAATGACTACTTGTAGCAACACCTAACTATCAACATAAAAACATACACATTGATTTCTGGAGCCATGGGAAAAACTCCATGATGAAGCTAAAATACGTTTGTTCTTTCCTCCCTGAAACACCAGAAAAACACTGATTATAGATACACCCACTACAAATACAATCATAAAAATATTAAAAATTTGAACTTCTTCTAAAGTGCATGAATTTTCATAAGCTCAGATATATGCAAAACTTAGAATCCTTAAAAGAATATAAATATTAATTTAAACACCTGTCCTAAAAGTACTTCCTCTCTCTTGAAGTTTTCTGTTACTTCACTCATTCATATGCCACTGATTTTACACTGGCCTTTTCAAGATGCATAAATACCTGGTCAGTTACAGATTTATATTCTTATTCTCAAGGATTTAATTTGATTTAAAGCACACCCTCTGTCAAAGCACAGAGATTTAATCTGAGGAATTCTGTTCTCAAGGAACAGAACCTGTAACATTCCAAGTAAACTATCACTTTTGAAAATTATCATTAGCTTGTTGTCTTTTCATTTGCCACTAGACCACCTTGTTCCTGCCTTTTGTAGCAAAAATAATCCTTCAATATTCTGTCATGGGCTGAAAGGTACTTGAAAACTTGAGTAGTTAAAATAACTTTTCCAAGAAAAAAATTGGCCAATTTAAATACCCACTGTGTTGCAGTGCATTTTCCAGATGCAGCTCTCTTCCGTGTTGCTCTGGCGTGTTATTACACACGCTTCAAATAGGAGCACTGGAACCAGTGCATGGCTGTTTCGGTGTGATTCTAAAACAAAGATTACTTAATGCAAACAAGAGCTGAGCAAAGCCGGCCTCGGCGGGGCTCGCCCCAAAGCGGGCCGGGCTCCCGCCCGAGCAGCTGTCTAGCACAGGGTCGCTGCCGAGCTCGGAGCACACCGCCCTGCATGTGCAGCGCGCTCCGGGCTGCCAGCGCTCTTCTCGCTGCTCCTTCGCCCTCCCTCCCCCTTTCCACACGGCGCCAGCACAGTAACAACGTGCGCTCTTATGAGAACGGATTTAGGAAAATCACCCTGGATTATTCCCTTTCTCCCGACAGGCTGCGCTTTGCAGAGTCGCAAGAATCAATCAGGTTGAAAAAGATCTCTGAGGCTGATCTCTTCCAACCTGCGAGCCAGCACCAGCTTGGTCAAGCAGACCACGGCACTGAGTGCCACATCCAGTCCTTCCTTTAACACCTCCAGGGTCGTGACTCCACCACCTCCCTGGGCAGCCCATTCCAGTGCCTAATCATCCCTTCTGCGAATAAATTACTCCTCATTCCCAGCTTTTCGATCCCAACCCTGCACCACCCCCACCAGCTCACGAGCAAACACGGAGGGCGCTGGGCTCGGGGCGGAACGGGGAAATGTCTGTCTGAACAAACACACGTACAACGCGCACGCGGGGCAGGAAGCGCAGCCAGGGCGGCAGCTCCGCGCCGGCACCCCAATAGGACTCCGAGGACGGACCCGCACCCCCACGCCGCGTCCCGCGCTGCGCCGGGACCGGCCGGGCCGGGCCCGGCCCCCCCGCGCCGACCCCGCCTCAGCCCCCGCCCGCCCGACCAGCGCCTCCCCCGGGGCCGCCCCGCCCCGCCGCGCGCTCACCTTGCTCCGCGCCCGGGGACACCCGCGCGCCCGCCCGCCGCGCCTGCGCGTCCGCGCCGCCGCGCGCCCCGCCTTCGCCGCGCAGGCACCGCCCGCGGTCGCCCGGGCAACGGGACGCGGAGCCGGGCGGCGGCGGCGGCCGCGGGCGCCTCACACTATGTCCCACATCCTGTGCGAGTGGCTCAACCGGGACGTGAAGCTCTCCCGGCTCATCGGTGAGTGGAGCCCCGGTGCGCGGGGACGGGTAGGGCCCGGCCGCGAGGCAGTGGGGTCAGCGGGGTCACGGTCGGGCCGTAGTGCCAGGGGTCTCCCCGCGGCCAACCCCCTGGCGGGCCCGCTCCCTTCCTGCCACCACGTGCCTCCGCGGGTACATTTTTAGTCTTCGTGTGAAAGGCAGGGACTACGGAATCGTAGATCTGTGAGAGCTGGAGAAGACCTTCAGGACCACCCAGACCAACCATGCAACCAGTAGTGCCCCTGTAACCCCTGAACCACAAAACCACATCACTCAGTGCCAGATCCAGACACCTCCTGAGCACCTCCAGGGATGGTGACTCCTTCACCTCCCTGGACAATATATTCCTATGCCTGAAAATTTTCAAGCTGAAGTTGATTCTTCTCAAGGGGCAGGTGCTCTCAAGAGATGGAAAATGCTCAGACCTAAAGTGCTAATAAAGACTCTATAGAATAAGAACTAGTTTAATATTTTTGGAAAGTAGTATTTTGTTTTGGATGGCAGCTGTTGTGCTGGCATTGGAAAAGCATTTGCACTGCAAGGAAGAAACAAAACCCTCAGGAAAATCAGAGAGATGGACAATCACCAGAAGTATGATGGTGCCAAATTCTGCATCAGGGATGAGGCAACCCTTTTGGTGTGTATAGACTGGGGAAGGTGATGCTGGAAAGCACTACCATGGAAAGGGCCCTGGGGCTCCTGGTCAGTGGTGGCCTGAGCAGGAGGCAGCAGTGTCCTGGCAGCCAGGAGGGCCAACCCTGCCCTGGGGGCATCAGGCACAGCATCAACAGCCAGGACAGGAGGGGATTGTCCTGCTCTGCTCTGCTCTGCACTGGGGCAGCCTCACCTCGAGTGCTGGGGGCAGTTTTGGGTGCCACAGTGTAAGAAAGACATGAAAGTGTAAGAGTGTCCAAAGGAGGGCAATGAGGATGGTGAAGGGTCTGGAGAAGAAGATGTGTGAGGAGTGGCTGAGGTCATTTGGTCTGTTCACCTGGAGGAAGCTGAGGGGAGTTACAACTCCCCTCATGAGGGGAAGAGGAGGGGCAGGCACTGATCTCTGCTCTGTAGTGACAGTGACAGGAACCAAGGGAGTGGCCTGAAGTTATGTCAGGGAAGGTTTCAGTTGAATATTAGGAAAAGGGTCTTCTTCTCCAGTGGGTGGTTGGGCACTGGAACAGGCTCCTCAGGACAGTGGTCACAACTACAAGCCTGACAGAGCTCAAGAAGCAATTGGAAAATGCTCTCAGGTACAGGGTGTTTGACTCTTGGGGTTTGCTATGAAGGATTCAATTCTGATGGGTCCTTTCCAACTCAGCGTATTCTGTGATTCTGTGATTGTATGAAGAGGAGCATTTTAGAGCTAGCTTTTTTTTTATCTGCATTTTGTATGGAAAATCTAGTAATTATAGTTTATAGATATTTTCACAATCTCAGTGGCAATTATGGTGATGGTTGCATTTTAACACAGAAAATTAGAAATTACTATGTATAGCTGATGTTGCAAAATGACTTCACAGAAAGTATATTTATTTGTGATTTGAAAACTATTACTGTTAGATTAATCTTCTAAAATTTCTTTGAATTATTTATAAATGTTGGATTTAGTTTTGTTATAAAAACAATAACAAGTTTTATTAAAATTAACATTTGGATTCTTTTAATTATTTTATCTAAAAAACTCCAAACAATGACAAAACCCCCAAACTTAGTTCCAGGATCATTTCCAGAAGATTTTTCTACTGGCTACCTCCTAGGAGAACTTCTACACAAATATGGTCTTCAGGATGACTTTAAACAATTTTCACAGAACAGGTTAGTACATATGGATAACATTTGGTCTCCTGTATAAAGTGACAAGTCTCTTACATAGAGCAGACAAAATATATATTTCCTCAGCTGGGATTTGCTAATGCACTGTAGAATTTATTGATATTTAAAATATTTTTTAGTAATTCAAAAGCTAAATATGTTTGAGGCATGAATTGATTTCATATTTCCAGAGAGATTGACCATACTTCTTCAAGAAAATTATGCATTTTAATTGTAACTACAATAACCAGTAACCAGGTTAGACCAGAGGTTCAAAAAGCCTTTCAAGGATGTCTCTGTGATTAGGAGTAGTGGAACTCTGCCCATGATCTGTGTAGAATTAGGAATATTGTTTGTGTTGCGGTGGTGACCATAACATCTTCATTAAAATGAAAATGCTGGAGAAACATTATGAACTTTGAGTGGAGCTCTGGCAGAAGATCATATAAAAATTTATAAGTTTAGAAGTAATTGCTGTAATATTTATAATTAGGAAAACTGTAAAATGGGAAGTTGAAAAATCTTGTGCAGATCTGTGAGCTTTTTTTTTTAAATTGATGATGCAATTCATGAGCTTGGCTTATGCTGTGTTTTATCAGACTATGGTGCGCATGTTCATCAAGAGTTCCAGGCTGTACAAAATCCTCCTGTTTCTTCTGAACCTCTGCTTTTATGTTCTTTGAACTTCTAGTGTATTCTCACCCTTTCCTATGCCAAGTCTGACCAAATTGTAGGACAGCAGGTTGAGCCCAGCTAATAAAGGCAGCCAACAAAAAGCAGTTTCACACAGCAGTTCTTGAACTCTGTTTCTAGGACTTCTAGATCTCTTAGGAATTTCTGGGATCATTAGAAAATCCCAGGTAATTCTTACAGTGCCTGCTGTTGCTGGGAAAAGTAGCTTCAGGAGGCTTTTATTTCTTCTAGCAAGCTCTAGCATCTTCTCACAAATTTTCTCAATTCTTCCCAGTAAAAGGGTGCTTTGAGCTCTTGTCCCCAGGTGATTAGAGAGGTGCATTTAGTGAATATACGCTTCAGTAGGTGCAAGAAGTGACTGGAAACTCTGCTGAGACAGTTTATTTGTGCTCAACAAAGATGGGGATGCATGACAGGGCATGATACTCAGTACCCACTGGAACAACTACTCAGTGTCAGAGGCCTCAACTCGAATTTCTCTCCAATGAAAGGAGTCAATTATCCCTTTCTCAGACTGATGGGATTGCCTTCATCAGGGGGAGGTGGTGGCTTTGCCTGCAGAGACGTGTGCTCATGGAGGAGCTGTGTTATCCACTCAAGTTGCTGAAGAATGAGGTCAGTACAGTCTCTTGTCTGAGACGCTGCAGATACAGGAGCCTGGACCTGCAGTTGTGCTGAGGGAGAGACAGACAGAATTGTTGTGTTAGGAAAAGGAGGTGACTGGCAGCTGGTGACTTCTGTGAGGAAAAGGAAGGTTTCTGCTCCTTCTGCTGAACTACAGCTGTGAACAGGTTCATTGCAGTAGTAGCAGATGAGTGCTGGTGGCACTGTGTGACAAAGCATCTGACCAGGTAAAGTGTAAACCATGCCAGAGCACCAGTGTTGGTGGGGACAGCAGTGGGAGGCTTTCTCCTGCAGGAGATAGATGGAAGTGCTGTCGGCTGATGTCACATGCTAATGTATGCATGCAATTAAGGACACGCTGAGATGACAGGATTATGGGAGAAGCATTCACACCCTTTCTAAATTACTCTAATTTTTTTTAAAATCACACATCTATAAAGTGCCTGTATAGTAAAGCATGCAGCATGGGGATCAAACAAAAGAAATTAGAGACCTGTGAGCAGTTGCTGGGCTATCATTGCAGTTGCAGTGGGCTGGTGGGATAGCTCCCAGGACTGGTGTGCTGCCATGGCTTGATATAGGTGCTGAAGGATGGACAGGCTGTTAAGGTGGGGGAGAAGAGGAGCAGCCCTCTGTGTGAGAGAGCAGGAAGAAGGAAGATCCAGGACCTCCCTCTGTAGTGGCCATTCTTAGTTGTCTTCCTGCATCAAAAAGATGGCACAGTGTGGCTCCATTCATCAGCCTCTCTCTCGGATTCTCAAATTAGTATCTGCAATGCTGAGGCTGAGATGCTTAATGCCTTCTCTATCTTACTCTGCTAAATAAGACTCACACTCAGAAACCCCAAGTCCTTGAAACTAATAGGAAGGTCTGCACCAGTTGTTTACCCTGTGTGATCTGGAAGACCTCCAATGATGGAGACTACACTACCTCTCCAGGCAATTTTTTTCAATATGAAATTTGTATGTATTTTATATATTATTGCCCTCATGGAAAAAAGGTCTTGTCATATGTTTAGGTGGAAGAGCAACAAGATGGGCTTTTAAAGTTATGTTCACAGCAAAAGGAAGGCTGGGGAAAATATGGGGCTCCTGGGACATGCAAAAGACTAAGGTATCCCAAGACCCTGAGGCATACAAGAAAGTCTGTGGGAAGAAGGATTTAACCATGGAGAAGGAACAGTTTAAGGAACATTTAAGTAAATTGGAAATGTGTAAGTCCACGGGACCTAATGGCACATACTTACCCAGGCTATGTAACCTGGCCAATGTCATTGCTGGGCCACTCTCAATAGTCTTTGAAAGCTTGTGGGGGGAGTCTCTAGGACTAGGAGACTGTGCCTGCTGCTCTTCTCTTCAAGGAGTGCAAGGAGGGAGAAGTAGAGATGTACAAACAAATCAGCCTCACAGAATAAAAAGTTAAGAGCTTCTCAGTGCATGTCAGATGATTTCTGGCAAGAGGGTTCATCTTAACCTTGAATCAATGGCAGAAAAAATGCTCAATACTTGTAAGCTTCAGTGTCAGTGTCGGTGTATAAGAAATAAAGCTTGGATTGTTACAGTGAGGATAATGAGCTCCTGGAGAGTTTAATCTAGAAATAAGATGAATACATTGTTACCAGAAAGTCTTCAGTTAAAATGAGGTATTTCTGTAGAATTATGCTGGATCTTGGCTGACCTCAAAAGCTGTTTGCTCCATGTGAAGCAGCTATTGTGAACTCAAGCAATAGAGCAGTATAGAAAGCATGGTCTTCTGACTCAGACTGAAGTTATGGATATGTCTGATGAAATTTGATATGCTGATTGTTATAAACTGACAATTTCTTATTATTTGGGTTTGCCCTGTATATCTGTGGATCTTGAGTGCTTTTCCATGAGAACCTACATATCAAAAGAAATAATAACCTGCAAGCCACTATCTTAGTTTCAAATGTAAATTTCTCATTTAGAACATAGAATTTGTTTTCAACACTGCTTTAACCTGTGTGTCTATTTCTTTTTCTTGAAGAAAAAATATGTTGTAAAGGCTAGTAGATAATACAGACCTTTTTTTGTTGATCTTATGGTTTAATTGGTGAGAATTTGAGTGATTGATACAGCTAATATAGAAACATCATTTGAATTCCTTGTGTGTTTTGCAGATGGTATACCATTAGCTGCAATTGCAGATTAGCTTTTGCTATTAGATGCATTTCGTGTGCACACGTATCAGAATTTACTTTGTCTTTTCAAAAAGTTAAGCATAGTAATCAATGCAGTTACCTGTACAGCAGTATAAAACTTAAGCCAAAGAATGTATCACATTATAAGAAAATCCTCTGTGGGTTGTTTTTTTCTACTCCTTTCTTGGGATAAGTGTCATGACCATGCTTAATGCAGCAAGTTGGAATTGAAAATAAATTTAAGTTCTAGGGTTTTTGTTTGTTGTTTTTAATCATACAGAGGTGCAGATGCAAAAATTAACAATTTTTCTCGCCTGGAACCCACACTTCACCTCCTTGGTGTGCAGTTTAATGAGACTATGGCCCAAGACATCATGACAAGACAGCATGGGGCTGCAACAATGCTTTTATATGAATTGTATATTGCTTTAGAAAAAAAGAGGAAAGCAAAGCTCACTGGAGTAGCTGTGGGAGCAATGAGACCTGCAGCAACTGCAAAACTTACATCTACTGAAAGTGGAAATGAAGAGGTAACTATGTCTGTTTTGTGTAAATATAAAAAAGGTAGCATATTTACACATACCTTTCAAACATGTTATGTGCATTCTCTCTTTACTTTGTAAATCTCCTGTTCAAAGCCCAGCACTTAAAAGGAAAAGCAGCAGTTCTTTGCTATGTCTTGTACAGTGGGTTTGCACAGGAACTCAAAAGGGTATTGATCTTCTGTGTTTCTTTGTTTTGATTCATTCTGTGTTACCTGCTCTGTTTTCAAGCTTTCTCCAGACTTAAAATACTATAACAACAAAAGCTAGCAGTTGTTCAGCAGCTGCCTTTTTACTCATTTGATTAGTACAGATTGCAGACTGCATTGTGGTCTAGGTATCAACTCAGACTAATTTCCCCTCCAGGAAACCTATTTTTAACTATGTTCAGCTCTGTGCCACTGTGGTTTGATTAATTCTGTTGCATGTCTCTCCGTATATTTATACTGCACTCCATTCTGCAACTACCATATGCTGAGAAACACAAAGAGAGAAAAATAAAAGGAAAAGAAATGTCTAAAAGGAAGTCAGTGTTGATGTGGTAGGTTCTGTTAAAGACTTCCTTCTTGATGTCAGTAGTAATATTCAGTATATCCAGACCATTATTTGTTATCAGGATGATGAATTTTTAAGAAGGTATATATAATGAATTAAATTCAGCTGGGAGAAACGTAACTTTTTTTTCTGGCACTATTTCTGAAAAATAGCCTTCAAGCAGAAGTTTATCAACAAGTGCTAAGATAGTACTGAAAAGTCAACATAGATTACTTAAAGGAATTGAGCAACTGAGAGCAGGTCCTATTCAAGACAAGTTCAGAATGGCATTTGAATCATGGAATAGGAAGGTTGAGAAATAGAGAGAGGAACAGAGGTTGGAAAGAGCCTCTGGAACTCAGTTTATCCCCCCCTGCTCCAAGCAAAGCCAGCTATAGCAGGTTCCTCAGGACCTTGTTCAGTGTGGTTTTGAGTATCTACAAAGCTGGAGACTTTCAGTAAAGAAACGCTTCCTTTCCTCCCCTGGTGCAGTATGGGACAAGTCCTGTGACTGAAGTGCAACTGTGGATGGCTGCAGGCTGTTCAGAAAGGACAGGAGAGGAACAAGAGGCTGAGGGTTTGCCCTCTATACCAAGAGGTGGATTGGATATGAAGAGTTGTCTCTGAAGGATAGACATGAGCAGGTTAAAAGCCTGTGGATAAGAATCAGAGACCAAAGCAAAAAATTGAACCCTGTGGCTGGTGTTTACTACAGTGTTCCTGACTAAGGCAAGCCTATTTGACCAAATCCTGATCCAGCTTCAGGAAGCATAGTGCTCACAGGCTCTTGTCCTGCTGTGGGTCTTCAACCTCCCCAGCATCTGCTGGGAAATTAGTGCAAGGAGCTGTAGGCAATCCAGGAAACTCTTGGAATAGAGGACAACTTCTTGAGCCAGGTAGTAGGCAGCCCTACCAGAGGGGATGTGATATTGGATCTAATGGTCACCAATAAAAACAAGATAATTGGGGACATCAAGACTGGAGGCAGCCTGGGCTGCAGTGACAGTGTTGGTACATGGGTTGATGGTGTTTTAGTCCTGAGGTAACAGATTAGGATTAAAGGTAGATCCCTTTTCCCTCCAGAAAAGCAGATTTCCAGCTCTTTAGGGAGATAGATCATCTGAGAGACTGCCCTCAAGAACAAGGGAGGAGAAGAGAGGTGGCAGATCTTTAAGGAATTCTTGTGGATTACCCATCCCAAGAAGTGTTTAAGGCCATGATGGATGGGACTTCAAATAACCTGGTCTAGTTGAAGCTGTCCCTGCCCAGAGCAGGAGGCTTGAAACTAGGTGATCTTAAAAGTCCCTGCCAACCCAAACCATTCTATAATTCTATTCCACATGTCATCTCACTGGATACCAGAGCATCCCTCTGTGCATCCCCTCCAGAGAAAGCTGTACAGAGCAATGCGGTGTCCTTTTCTGTCAACAAAGTTTGGCATCATTCAAGTTCAAATCTCTTAGTTCTTTTCTATGGAGCTGGTTCTGATTTTCAATTTGAACATGCTTGTGTGTTTTTCTGTGTACATTAACACAGAAAAACACAGTTTGAAGCAATAGTCTCTAACTTATAATATTTTAATGTTTATTGTTGTTTCTGACTCTTCTCTGCTGGATGTTTAACATTTGAAAACTGTAGTGCCGCATCAGAACGAAACAAAATCAAAATTGCTAACAGGTAAGAGAGCTCATGTGGATGTTGCAGAGCAGCTGAGAGCTCAGAAGAGCAAAAAGCCCAAGACACTGAAAGAATGACTACGTATTTTTATAGACTTCTGAAGAAGCATTTTCTGAAGGTTATGTTCTTAATGAATTAATTAAAACCAGTGTGAAGGCTTCCTGATTCTGTGCTCTGTGCTCTTGTTTATAGAAGGACAAAGAAAAGTAGTGTGCATGGAAATAAAGCCAATGTACTCTTTCGAGACCTTTAGAACGTTCCTATTTAAAAATCACTTCATCTTGAGTGTGTTTGCATATTGTCAAGCATGGCAAATATTTATAGATTTGAAGAAAAAGGGTACATATCACAACTTGTATGCATTTGAGATGTCCTTGTAAAAGAGTTTAGTGTGATTCTTCTTTTGTAAAGAAAAGATGGAGCATTATACAAAAGCAGGAAAATGACAGAAGAAGGGCATCTATAGTAGGTATGGCCTCAGAACATTTTGCGCTTCTGTGTAGCTATTCTGATGAAGAAAAAAAGGAAGACATTACTTTAGACATGGGGAACACTCACCCAATGCAGAGTTTATAATTTATATAGAGGAAATGGCCAGGCATCGGAGTATTGAATGATACTGGCAGTTGTTGACTAATTTGATATATATTTTATGTGGCTAATGAAGGGTGAGAGTCTTGCTGTGGTTATTTAGCTATTCTACTGCCACTACATAACAAGAAGGAAAAAAAGGCCCCTTCATGTATATCTAGACAGGAAAATGCAAGCAATAAACAAAATATTCAAAACAACATTATAAAATAAAATTTTGGAATACCTCTTTTGATGCATTATATATTTCCAACAATCTTTGACTTCTTTGTATAAAAACTATTTTTTCTTCTTTATTCCACATTTACCTGCCTGCGTGTCTGGTGCACTTTAAATGAGTGTGATTTATATATTTACTTCTTGATTGTCTGTGCTAGTGTTATCTAATGGTATTCTCAGTTTGTGTACCAGGAAACTAGTATTCTCATTTTCTGTGCTTTATTCAGACCTCAGACAGGTACCTCACTAGAACTAGAATTCAATAAAGCCCTTAAAAGTCTATAAAGCATTGCTCATCTGCTCAAGTCTCAAGTCTGATAATCTCTTCTAGTTTCTTCCTGGAAGATAATTTTTGGTTTAATTGTATTTGGCTCATATCAGAATCACATAGGAAGGAGACAAAATGAAATAATGGCCAGGATTCAAACAGCTGTTAAACAGATTCAAAAACAACCATCAAGACCTACCATAAAATCTTTTGAAGCCAAAAGATTCTTAAAGAAGAAAAGAGAAGCAGAGGTAATTATCATCTATATTGTTTTAAAGCTAATTACATTAACTCAAACCTCACAGTTTCTGGGAACATTTATCATTGCAAATACTGCACTTGCACCAGCTGCTGACTGTCAAAATAATGTCAGTTCTACCAGTGAAAATTGGACTGAATATTTACACAACTATGATTTTGCAGTTTTTTTTAAAATAAGAATTGTTTTGATGCAAGAGAAATTTCATATTGAATAAATATCATAGGTAAGTAGTAATTTGATTGTTGAGAGTAGCTACGAGTCTACTAGAAATAATACATTAAATAAAAACATTAGTGTTCTGTTTTGATTTGTGCATTATAACATTTTGAACCATAATGTTTGAACTGGTTTATACCACACTATGAAACTGTCTGCTTATTAAATGCTAGTAACAGCTGAAATTGACAATAACCTTAAATCAGAGAGATGCAGCAATCAAAAAAAAAAAAAAATCTGCATTATGTAGTACCAAAAAATTCATGGTCATTGGACGTGCAACTATTACTGCTTTTTACAACTGGGCAACAGTAACAGGAGTCTTTAAATCTAGAATTTAGTAACCTATAGTAAGACAGTTACTTGAATAACTATTAGGGATACATTCAAGCTACTAAATCAAAAGCAGATCATATTCCAGAGTATCTTGTTTCAAATCCCCATATGGTGAGAATTACTTGCTCTGCTAGAGCCTTATGAAAAACCAGATTTATCCTGTAGAAAGAACAGCTGCAAAAATCTAGCGTTTTCTGGCTGGTGGAAGTATTTGTAGCTGGAAAAGGGGAAGAGGGGAAGGAAGTGAAAGGTGAAAGATGGAAATAATTTTGCCTTTATTCTTGGTGTAGCTGATGCTTGAAATATTTTCAATGTGAACATTTCTCTTGTACTAACATGACATAAAAGTAATTCCCTAGTAGTTGCTACCTTCTTTATGTTGCTTTGTGAAGAGAAAGGAAACATAAAATTCTGTGTTTCTTCTTTAGAACGTATACAAGGAGATAGAAAAGTTTGAGAAGTCTATGACAGGAAACATCTCTGCAGTACATGGCCATGTGACTGACAGGTAATATTTGGATGTTAAATTGTTAAGAATAGGCTGGATCCTTCCCCAGGTGTCTGCTATGTAGACAGCTACTTGAAGAAAGAATAGTGTTTCATTTAAACTGTGATTATCCTCTGAACAAATGCCACACTAGCACTGATTTCAGGTCCAACACAAGCAGTGTCTTTAAGTTACCTTTAGTTGTAGTAGGGACAGCTTAAGCTTCCTTCACTACTTTTTGCCATGTGTGCACCAAGGAAAGGCTCAAAATGCATATTTTCTCTACATTTTAGTCATTGGGTCTGTAAGGTCAGTTACCCTTTCAGCAAGATAGGAATGGTTGTGAATGTGCATACACAGTAGCACATTTCCAAGGGAAAAGAAGTAACTTTTATCCTGAAACTTATCTGTATGTTGATGTATTTGTGAATAATTGCAAGTAATTTTTATTCTGTCACCTTTGGTGTTATCCATGCCCTGCTCAGACGATATGACACTGTTGTATACTGCTGTGGATATTTCTGTGTGTAAACCTGTGATTGATAGCTACAAAACTACTCAGAGTGTAGGGCTATATTGAGGAGTAACCCAACTTTCTTTGACATTCTGTGAGCTGTCCTAATTTCCTATTTCTATTTCTATGGAATTTGGCTTTGTATTGACAAAGAAACTAATGATTTGTTGGCCTGAGTCAGTGCTGGACCTAGTGGACATTGTCAAGAAGTAGCTGCAGAGCCCACAGAGTGATGTTCTACGTTTGTTGTACTTGCACATAACTATATAGACATTTGTGTGAAAAGACCCTTAAGAATGGTAATTACAATCTTTGTTTTTTCAATCAGTGATATGCAAGAATTTTTGCAAACACAGAAGTCTCAAACAACAGGTCTAAAAACTATACCAGAGAAGAGAACTGAGCTGTTAAATATTTATTCAGATGATGAATATATAAAGATTATTCAAAAACGTGTACAGGAAGATATATTCGCTAGAGAGCAACGAGCAAAGAGACGACGAAAAATGCTAGTGGATCAGTTAGCAGCACACGAGGCTCAAGAGGTGGGAAATTGTATGGTGAAGTACACAGTCTATGTGCATTTAATTAGTAGTCTAAAATGTGCTTACAAATATGAAACGAGTACTTTTGGAAGGCTGAATAAAATCTGAAGGGGATAAAGGGACTTATACACACTTATGTCTGAATATCTTTTTTATGTTAACCCTTAAAAAATACAGAAGATTGGCTGTTCTTCATCACCACCATTATGTCATACACCATACTTATAAACTTAAAAGGATAAAATTAAGGCAGCAGAACAAAAAAACATTGCATTCCTTGTTTGAAAACTTGTAGTTACATAACTTGTAGTGTCATATGAAGGTTTTCATCTGGACTGATGAATTCTGAAATGGTTGTGCTGAGAATCAAAATTTTATTTGGAGGTCAGAGATTTGGTGTTTGATGTGTTATGAAATACAAGATATGTCTCTGGAGAATATCTGTATTGTGTCTAAAAATGAATGTTGCTGATTATTACATTTGAATCCTCTCCCATAAACCACAAGGCTTTTAAGATTTTTCTTCATACATTAAAAAAGCAAAAGATTCTTCTTCATTCTCCTTTAAAAAGAAGCTTTTAGATTACTAATTTCACAGATTGTCTCTTTTATAATGATTCTATCAATACACAGCCTTGTAACTTACTGGTTTTTTTTGATTTCTGGCTATTTTTTATTTTAGTATTTCCCTGTGAGTCCTTAGTTTGGATCATATGTGTTGATCATGTGTGTTTAGATCATATAGTTTAGATCATATATAGCTGAACCTATCTCTACTGCTAATACTAATAATACTAGTAATAATAATATAATAGTAGCATTTCATATGTGTAGTACCTCTGAAAATATATTTTTTTAAGCCTTGACATCTAATGTCTGGAGATTTTTTGGAAATGTTAAGAAAAAGGTTTTTGGGGTAAACATCTGGAAGTTAGATGCTGCTCAATGTCTATCAGACCTATATTCTCAAAAAATACCTGTAGTGACTTAGAAGAGTCCATCTCTAGATATATCCTGTCTCCAAGTTCTTATTCAAAGAGATTTATATAATGTTCTTGTTGATACACATAGGCCATGATGAAAGTTTTGCAACCCACTTGTCTGAAAATCACTGCAGTCCCAAAAACTTGCTCTTTAAGCGTTCTCAGCTCTTGCAGCCCCAGCAGTGTGGATCACTGATTCTAAAAGCCATGACTACCAGAGCACTTGGTGGATACAGCAGCTCAGACTGGCTCCGGAGAGGCTCCAAATCAAGTGAAAACAAGCAATAGTGTTCCTAGCTTCCCAGGAAGAAAAATCAGCTTTGCTATATGAACAATTCAAATCACAGACTGCAAGGATGAGAAGGAAAGACAAATTAGCATTTGACTGAAACAATAATCTGACCATGTCAGAGAATATATTTAGTCGTAATTCAGTTCTAAATTAACAGAGGAAAAACTGTTTTGTTGGAACTTCGTGAGATTTCACACATTAGATGTTACTTGACTTAAGAGAAGGGGGAAGCAAACTGAGGTATTTTCTTAAAAAATGAATGGAAATAGAAAATAGTTCAAGATTGCTTTTTCCATCCATTAAATATTGAACCAGAAAGGGTTTGTTGACTGAAATTGCAGCTGTTTATATGCATTCAGGTCTGAGTTTTACCTCCACTGTATAAATCTTGAACCTGGCATGGGATCATTTAGAATGGAAGGAATTTCATCCCTTCAGACTGCTGTAATGTGTTTCATATCCATATTTATAAAAGTTTATTAAAATAATCTTGTTCAATTTTTTTTTGGTACACTGCAAGGTGGAGCCTGAGAGAGAAAATACTTTACAATTACATGACAATACTCTAGGTGGAGCACAGCATGATGCCAGTCAGATTTTCATAGGCTGGTGTTGAACATATTTGACAATTGTATGGTTTCATCCCAATTTTATCTCCACAATTTCACCAAATTATTGGTGATTTGTACTTGTTATTTTTAATGCTCTGTTCAGATTTTATATCTTGTTTTAAAAAGTTATCAGACATCACTTACTATCAGCAGTAAATTGAGAATGTGAAAATGGGAGGAGAAACAAATTGTTACTAGCTTATTACTTGTCAATCAAATATATTTGTGTGTGCCAAGCTCCAAGTTTAGGTCATAAAATGGTCATTTATGACTGAAAAACAGCACAGAAATGTATCACTTGTATGTAAATCAAACAAGGAAATAGAAAAATAGAAGAACATGATATAGTAACTATGTATGAGCAACCCAAAATGTAACCACATTAATGTTTGGCCACTGGATGCCACTGTTGTCTTAAGTAGGTAAACTGACAAAAGCATCTATTGTGCTTTCTTAATAATGATTTTCCAAAGTATTACTAAGTTGTCCCATTTGTGATATTTATGATTTCTTCAAGCACTTCACAGTTCTCTGTGAAGATGTTTATACAAAATGTTACGTCAAAAACTTTTTCTACAATTGTTATTTTGTGTCTTGTATGTTTGGAAGTTTCAAAACTTGCCAGCCTTTGAGTACTTGCCAGGCTTGAGTACTTTCTGCATTCCTTTTTCTGGGAAAGATAGCTACTAATGTTGCGCTTCTCCATCCAATGAGGATCCTTTTTGAAACTATGAGTTTGGAGTTTGGTGTTTGGAATCCTTATTTATCTGTTCTGTAGTTTTGAGTGAATTGCCTTTTCTGTTTTTCTTGTTCCTCAAGAATTTCCTACTAGCTCTCTTTAGGCCTAGTGAGCATGCCAAAGTATTTGATCACTTAAAATATTGAAATTCTATACCCTTTTAAAAAGAGAAGATCTGTTTTGGCTCCTGTGAAGTGTTCTAAATGAGCATCTTCCAATTTTCTTTATGAAGAGGAAATTCACCTAGAGAAGGTATTTTAATTTCTCACTGGACCAACTGTTTGCACCATTCAATTGATGGTTTGCGTATGACAAATGACAACTCTGTTAGGGTGGCTCCTTCAATTCCCTGCGAATAAAGATTTTAACATCAATTTTCAACTGGTGAAGGTTTATTACTGCTATAATAATTTGTGGTTGAGGGTAAGCAGCAACTAATGAAAAAAAATAAGGATATTTACTTGCAATAGGAAGTGAATTGTGTAACCTTTGCTCTTCTTTGAAATCTCACTTGAATACTAAGTACCATGAAACAGTGGATAGAACTGAGGCAGAAAAGGAAATTTAAAAATATGAAAAGAGATATTTGCTTGCTTGTTTGTTTGACTTCTCCCCAAAATTAATATCTAGATTACTTAGATATATTAAATATCTAGATTATTTAGAAAATTCTTCTCTTATTATTGCAACTGCAACAGTCATGCTTTGCATTAGAATGCTGTTAGAGGTGTCCTGGCTCCATTGTAGGACAGAGCTAGGCCTTTTCATAGTACTTTTCATAAATAATGTCATATGCAATCAAGTTGGATTTTTCATTTATCGGTGAAGTTGCAAAAAGCCGGGGAATCTCAGAAAACAGGAAACTGGACAAGACAAACGCAGATCTGAACCAATGTGGTTAATCAAATGTTCTCCATTTATTCGAGATAAGATGGTAGTTTATATAACCTTCTACATAGTTTACAGAAACAAAGGCACTCTGATTGGCAAGCTAACATTGTTTACCTTTTCCTTAAAGTGGCTTAAACCTTACACTATAAAACCTATACTAATTCACACCCAGACAGCCCAGTGGTCCCCATCACACCTTAATACTATTTCTATCTGTGCCACAAGCTCTGAATTTCTAACTGCATCAGAGGCTTGAAGGCCTCACAAGGCCCAAATCTGAGGCCTAGACTGGAGTAGCTCAAATCTCATAACTCATGTCCTCTTTCTCTCAAAAATGCTGCAACAGTTACATAAGGTGTTTTGCCTTCTCTCTCAGAGAGAAGGCAAATAAAATAAACCAGACTGATAGAAAATAGAAGTGATACTTTATTTTGGTGTGTTTTGTTTTGATTTGTTTTTTTAATTACTACTAATTGATTTTACTTGTGCCTTTGTTTTTAGGAGAATGAATTAGATCTTCAAATCAGATCCCAATTTAAGTCCTTAAATTTGAATACATTTCACAGTAGTTTTGATGCATCAGAAGCAAACATCCAGCAAATCAGAAATTTCCTCTAGAATTCTGCTGTAGCATTGGTATTTGGCAATGATGCTTTTAAGGCATGCTGATGTTTTTGTTCAGGACTCAAAAGGAGTTTTGGACTGTGAGAGTAAGGCAAAACTTGAGATTCGATTAAGCATTAGTTTAGATACCAAGAAAAGTCTGGAGAAGTGTAGCAGTGAGAAGACACTATTATATTTCAAGAATACTTTGAAAAATAACAACTCACAGCTTTCAAAATGTCTGTGCATATAGACCACATCTCGAGTAATTGTTCAGAATGGTTTTCCTTTAGTACTGCATAGCAGATTATATTCATGTCCCAGTGAGGACACTGGAACTATTACCCAGAAGTCTTGTATTTTGCTCAGTTTTGAATTCTTCCTCGTAGTCCCATAGTCCCAGTCTGCTGAATAGGGAAGAATGGAGAATATAATTACCCAATTCCCCTAAAAGAAGAAAAAAATTTCAAATCTGTAGAAAATAGATTGCTCAAGGATGCTGAAGATTATGGCTAAGAATGGTGACTGGTGAATAACAGGGTTAAATTAATGATTTGAGGAAAGGGTATATGTTCAGATAAGAAGATGTTTTTCGAAATATGCTGCAGTTTCTTTGCACATGGGAAATAACCACATTAAAATGGAGTTAGTCTGACCAGATGTATTTTTACTGGGTATCTCAGTTGAGACATATTTTGAATTGTTACATAGTTTGTACAAATTGTACTAATAAATAGATATGAATGTTGTTCTGAATTTATGTCCCATATAAGTAGGTGAATTCCATCATGTGACAGCATTCCTATTTCTCATATTAGACACTGATGAGTTTTCTAGGAAATAGTTTATCAATTGTGTTTAGTACTATTATTTTTTATCTTTCAGAAGGCTTACAGGGAGGAACAGCTCATTTACAGACTAATGAAACAATCTCAGCATGAACGAAGGATTGCTGCTCAACTCATGCATGTTCGGCATGAAAAAGACATGCTAAGGCAAAACAGAATTTTCAGGGAAAAGCAATATGAAGACAGACGGCAGAAGGAGTTCCAGGAAGCTCTTGACAGAGAAGCGGTAAAAGATTGATCTTTGAATTGCTGCAGGAGTGCTAGAATACCTTCCTGTTACAAAATTTGTGTTGTCGACTGTTAGACTTCAGGACTTTTCTAGGGACATGATGATATAGTAGTAAATATATTCTTTTGTCTTTGTTCAAAGTCACAGCTATAAACAATGAGGATGTAACTGTAACTGTGGGACTGAGTATATTTTGTGCTGTGTTAAAAGTTTGGGGGAATTTTGCAGGGAGAAAGAGCAGCTGATCTACCTGATCCAGTGAAAGGTGGGCCTGCCCACGGCAGCAGGTTTGAACTTTAGGTGGCCTCTAAAGGTCCCTTCAAACTGAAACCATTCTTGATGGTTCAAGTTCCATGATCCTGTAATAAGGTATAAAGCTGAGTAACTGAAAGTCTGATTTTTCTTCCATACTGATTTTAACTTTGTAGGAAGACATCTCTGTGTGCTGAGTTTTAAAAGGCACAGTTTCAGAGAGGCAAGAGGACAATAACCTAAGGTCCTGTTACAGGAATCATGTTCTTAATTTCATTTAGATATGATCTGGTTTTGAAAAATGCTGGAGTAGTTTCACTCACGAGTGCTAATTTCTGCTTTGAAGCTTTAAGTTGATTAAAAAGACTTATAATTGTGTGGAAAATTGCCAAGTGCTTGCTCATAGTAGGTCATAATGTAATATTGGATTTCTTTTTTCTCCTGTCAAAAATTATCAGCAACTCCAAATCTTCCAACACAGCTGGAATCCTGTGTAATCAGCAGCTATAGCTATTGATTACTTCACCTCTTTAAGTATGCTTTCAGCCACCACCACAGGAGGTATAGGAACTACTGATAATTTTCTACCATGACCAGAAATCTTTCAAAGATTGAACAACATCAATAATATGAAATTATTTGAAGATCAGAATCTAGTAAGATAAATTACATGTTCTAAACAGCTTGTTACACTGAAAGCTGCAATTTCACTGCCCTCAGGGACTGAATATGTCTCTATCTGTTTGTCATAAAAGAAGTAATGGGTTTTTCCTTTATTCTAGTTTAGAAAGCAAACAAATGGGAATTTATAAAGTGAATAAAAATGTTTAGATTTGTTTATGTGTTAGTCTTCCTGCTGGCTATGCAACTCTGGTGAGAATCGAGCTGTTTCTGTTTCTCTAAGTTAATTTTAATTTTCAAGACTGTGTACCTCTGCACTTTCACTTTCTCTGCAGTCTCAAATTTTTTCCTTAAAAACAATTCTAGGCTCTTGCAAAACAAGAAACTGTTGATAATGAAGAACAAATAACCAGAGAAAGAGAATACCATGAGAAAATTTCTGCCGAAAGAGCACAGGCACGCTATAAAAAGCATTATTCTTTATGTTGGGAAATGATAGGCCAAATCATTGATATGTCAACAAAAGTAGTTGAATATCATCAACTGACGAACAAGTGAGTATGCAGCAGCTAGACAAAAATAATAGCTGTTAGGCTGCATTAATCAGACTGGTTTAAGCATTAGAGCAAATTATGTAGTTTCTCAGATATTTTACATGGTAGCTGCAATGGCAACATATGAGCATGGTGACATTATTTTCATGTGAGAATTCACCGGTGTGTAATACAGAGTGAACTAATGCTGCAGCCTTAGCATAATTTCTTGAAAATTCAACTAACTTGAATTCTTAGGAGACCAAAAATCCACTAGTGCCACAGTTTGTGGAACTGCTGATTTCCTTTTTTATTAAAAAATTCCTTAGTTAAAAGTCAAAACTGAATGGTGCTCATCTCATCCTAGTTTGCTTCACTAGGTGAACACTTCCTCAGAATAATACAAACAGGATGAATTTCCCAAGATATATAAACTTCCTGGAGTTTATATAAACATCAATTGAGCCCAGATACTTCTGAGTCCTCCAAGCTGCGATTCCCTCTTCTGATATGCCCTAGTCGCACGGGGTTTCTGAGAAGGTCCTACAAAGGCAGTAATCTCCAAGCAGAGCAGGTCACAGCACACAAGCCTGTGCTGTAAAAGTGTTTCAAGTATCATGGAATGGGGCATTATGGCTGTGGTTCTTTCATTAATGTTCAGTGATTTGATTGTGGGCTTAGACTTACAGTATTAGAAAGTATGCCAGAATCTTACTGCTTTTTAGTGTAATAGTATGTTAAAATAATAAAAGTGTAACCATACGAAATACACATTATTATATCTCATGGAAATTATATAAATTTAGGTTTATTTAGTATGCGGTACAATAGTCAACCTAGCCACACAGTTTAGTGAAATTACTAAAAAAAGAAAATGTTTAAATCATATAATTCTGAATTAATTTTGACTTCAAGAAAAAAAAATTCTATAGATTTTTTTTGCAAGAGGACACTTTACACCACAAAAGGAAAGAATATTTTGGGGCAGGGAAAAGTAGCAATAGCAAAACTGTTACTTCACAGCTCGTCTAGCCAAATATTGTGTGATGACACAATGGTGAAAACACTGAAGCCTACAAGTGCCTACAGCTGTCATAAAAGCAAACAAACACTTACAAGAGGTAATCATAATTACAGGACGCATTATAAACTAAAACTGATTTAGCATATGCTTGTTTCATGATTGGAATTCTAGTAAATTTGGATACAGTGTTGTCAAATATCCAACCATCTAATTTTTGGTTTAAAACTTTTATTTTCTTTTTCCTTTTTTCATTTTTATGCAGCCGTGTTCCACCAAAGCTCATGATGGATTGGAAGGAACTTTTTTTAAATGGAAAACCAATATATGAACAAGCCTCAATTCAACCTTTGCCAGATGAACCTAGCCCAGAACAATTTGTAGAGCTGAATAAAATGAGTCTGTTAGATGAAAAAGATTATGGTGAATACAAGGTACACCAAACTGATAAGGCATAATGGAAGATAATACACCTTGCTTTGTAATAATCATAAACTTCATGTTGTGATCTTGCATTTTTTTCTATTACTGCTTTCTGTTGTCAAACTTAGAGAAACATTTTCTTTTCATTGCCTGATGTTTTTATATGAAAACCATATTTGATGTTAGTTGCAGTTATAATTCTATTTCTATATATAACCTTGATTATATTTCTTGAGTCGTAGGACCAGCATGTTAATTGCAATACAGTGAATTTTCAGCTAATTTGAATTTAAAGGTATAATTAATATTACCTGATTGGAAAATGCAACAGAAAGTAACCAGTAAAAGCAGTAAAATGAAATACTAGACATGTTACAAAACCTGAACTTTTAATTTCATCAATTTTGAGTGAAAGCTCTCTTAACAAGATTTATTGTTTTGAGTGAACTATTTGTTTTAACACAGTAACCTTTTTTTGAAATTATTAAAAATAGCTGACATTTTTCTTAATCTTTTGTTAGACTACAAGTAAATATTTTTCAGGATATATTAACTTCATCAACTTTTCAATATGTCAATGTTATTTTAAAATTGAAAGATTAAGGTTTGTTAGTTCCTTGTTAAAATTTATTGTACAGTTTTTCAAAATTATATTCATTATTATATTCAATATATACCACTACATATTTTGGCTTTTCAAATAGCCTGGTGAGTAGAATGTGACAAAATCATGGCAAATACCCAGTTTTGTTCCTATTGGGAATTTATAACTACAATATATATTTGGTTTTTATCCACATCCTGAGCAACTTGGTACATTTTTGTTTTGCAGTGACTATAGATGTTCATTATGACTTTCTGTGATGAATACCTGAAAGCTTAATTTACTGTAGCTTCATTTTTAATATATGCTTTTCTGATTTATCTCTTTATAAGGTCCTTATTCACAGCATGCCAACTCATGTATGAATTTTGAGATTATTTTCTTAGGTGAAAAAAGAGCTGTACACAAAGTCAGCAAGGAGGACATAAAAGACAGGCAGGAAACAGAGTACTAAAGAAAAAATAATTTTCAGTCATATTTTAGTTTACATTATGAAATCTCAATAATCTTGTCCAAGTGTAACATCACTGAATGTCACAAAATTTTATTTTACACATTTAAATTTTATTGACACATTTAAAGACTTTTTTTTCCTGCCAGGCTATTTCAAATTATTTAATAATTAATTTATTCCCAGATATTGTTAGTCTTATGCCTTTCTGAATCATTATTAAAATTATTTTTGAATCATTAGTCAAAAACTGGCTTCATATGACATGTGAAATTGTTGGCACCAGTTCATACTAAAACCTAAGTGAACAGCTAATTCTTTCAAAGTCTATAGATAAAAATTTGTTGGCAGGTCATTCTCACAATATTTGTGCAGATTTTCATAACGTTTGTGAAATGGAATGTTTGTCCTGCCCGGACAGGCAGTTTGGCATCTCTCAAGAGTACCTTGCCTATATTAGGCACACCAGTTAAAAGTGTCAAATATATTTGATAAAATACCAGAAAATGCAGTGCTGTCAGTCCATTGCATGTTACATATTACTTTTTATTGTGAGAATATTTTTTGAAACCACCATGTTATAAACTGTGGCTAATCACTTAGTGAATTAATAATAATAATAACCAAAAACCAAGCACAGCATTAGGTACTGCTCAAATAATTTCTGGTTTCATTCAAAAGTATTGATCAGGAGTTACATATCTCCCACCTGGATGCCTGAAAACTTGTTTCTGACAGGTAGACTATTTTACCTTATGACAAGTACAGTCTAGCAATCTTCTGGCTAAAAGGGCAAGATAACTGAAAAGTGGGGGAACCCATTTCACTTGGAATTATTTTTTTCTAGAGGTCTAATAGAATTTAAATCAACAGATGCATCTCTACCTATAGGTTTAAAGAAAATTTATGCAGATAGTGCAAATATTTGGTTTTTTTTAAGGATGTCTTTTCAATTACACATGAAGAAGTATGTTTTCTGAGAGGCAATAGAGAGGGAATATGGTGCAACCCAAAAATATTTACTTTATTTGTTTTTACTGATTAAAAATAAGTGACTTCTAATTTTAATTTAAATTTATTTTAGACTGATAATGAAATTGTTTTTTTCTGCCTAGCAGATGTGTTCAAAGTCAGCATTGGTCATGTTCTACTAGTAGAATGTATGCTATGGCAATAAGTGGTTCAGATAGTAAATTCGGGAAAATGCTGCATATTCTACCCAGAAGATAAGTTCAAAACCTTATCTTTGAGTAGAACTTTAGCATTGCTCACTTCTGTTGACAGTGATAAAATATTTCATTTATAGAATGACACAATTGTTTGGATTAAAGGTTTGTGAAGGTTATTTGCTTAAAGCAGGACCAACTTCTGAGTCAGGTAAAGTTGCTTAGCATCGTTTGTTCAACTTACAATAATTCCAAGGGCAGAGATTTCACATACCCTCTGTGCAATCTTTTCCCATGCTTTACTAGTCTCATTGTGAACCAGTATTTTTCTTCCTTTTTCCCTGCTTGGAATGTTCTTGGCTGAAACTTCCGACTTTGCCTTCAAAGCTTTGTTGTGCACCCAAAATAAAGTGACAAACTAGAATCTAATTGGAAATATTATTAGTCTACACATTTCCAAACAGCTGTTTAATATCCTCCAACCAAATGAATGTTAATACAGGATTACTATTATTCTGCGTACGAAAATACCTTTTACTGTCTCATAGCATAAACTCCAGGACAGCAGGACTTTCCTAGTGCTATAAGATATGAAACTGATAGAGTAAAAGTACAGTTCTGTGTTCCATTCTTTGGACTACATTCTTGCATTCTTCCAGTGAGGTTTTCAGTAAAATTATGTTTACTAGTAAAATTTAGTAAATCATACAACTCCTAAATTTATATTTATCTAAGGGTAGATGAACTGGAAGTTTCTACTCGGTATTTTGAGTATTTTAATTTGTTTGAGTTGTTGGCTTTGGTTTGATTTTTTCTCTCTATTGAATGTGTATTAGGCAAATACATATATTTGAAATCTCTATTCATGAAATTTTCAGAGATTTAAAAGTGATACTGGGTAATAATGTTGCCCAGTTTTAGAATGTAGACTATTAGGATAGTGGATTTCTAATAGAAAAATCAAATCTGCTACTGATTAATTCTATATTAGTGAATTTTTTTTCATGTTTATGGAATTTAAAAAGTGTTATAGGAATCTGTATTAAAGCAAAGTTCTGGTAGTGGGGGGGCTGCAGCAGTTGCTTCTCTGAGAATCTGCTGGAAGCTTCCCCCATGTCCGACTGAGTTAATGGATGGGCCCATCACTGGCCCAGGCTGAGCCAAACAGGGATAGCAGTGACACCTCTGTGATAAATTATTTAAGAAGAAAATAAAGGTTTTGTGCAGATGTAGAGAAGAGAGGAGTGAGAAGGTCTGAGAGGAACAACTCTGCAGACACTGTGGTCAGTGGTGAATGATGAGGAGCAAGTGCTCCATGCGTAGTTGTTGAGATTCTACTGCAACCCCTGGAAGCTCATGGTGATGCAGAGATCTATCTGCAGCCCTGGAGGACCCGACGCTGGAGCAGGTGGATGTGCCTGCAGGCCTTGGTGGAGCACGTTCCTGGCAGGACCTGTGGCCCATAGAGAGAGGAGCCCATGCTGAAACAAGTGTGCTGGCAGGACTTGTGACCCTATGGGGGACCCAGCCTTTTCCTGGAAGGCTGTACCCCATGGAAGGGACCAAGCTGAAGCTGTTTGTGAACTGTAGTCCATGAGAAGGACTCAGGCTGAATATATTGGAGGAGGACTGGCTCCTGTGGGAAGGACCACATGCTGGAGAAGATGAAGATTCCTCTCTGAGGAGAAAGCAGCAGCAGGACCAACATGGTGAATTGAACATAACCTCCGTTCCCTGTTCTCCTTCTCTGCTGGGCAGGAGGAGCTACAAAATTTGGCATAAAGTTTAGCCTGGGAAGGAGGGAGGGCTAGGGGGTGGTGTTTGTAGGATTTCTTTTAGTGCTCACTATCCTGCTCTGATTTTGATTCATAAGAAATTCAGTTTCCCCAGGTCAAGTCTATTTTGCCCATAATGGTAACTGGTGAGTGATCTCTTAGTATCCTTAAATCATGAACCTTTTGTTGTATTTTCTCTATGGCATCCATCCAGAGGCAGAATCCAAAATCATAAACATGAAAATGTTTATATAAGTACTTGTGTCTCAACTAGTTATTAGCAAATATCAATAAATACTTACTGATTATGACATTATTACAGGTTTTAATGAGGTTCTGTTCTAAAAGCTATGTTATTATTGAGTACTATTCAAATTTTATTATTTTATGTATTTTTTATGTAAATAGGTACATATATTTAGAAAGATGGAAGGCAAGATTATAGCAATATTGAGATTTGCTACTTTATCATTTATACAGAGTATGACAGGGGAATGGAGCCCAGCGGAAGAGAACAGTGAAAACAAACCTCCTCTTAATAATAACATATTGGGTCATGTGCTTCATAGACTGATGGAAATGTTCTATCCTCCAAAACCCAAATCTTCGCGTGAATTTCCTTCATTTCCCATCAAGGGATGTGTTTTGGGAAAAATGTTTAGTGGAAAAACTACATGTGCAAAGTTTGTTGAAAAAGGTAGAGGTTGTTTATTTGTTTGCCTAAAATTCTTTAAAATATTTATGTTAAAATACCACTCTTAAATTAAAATTGTTTGGGCAAATCCTTGCATTAATAATTCTTAAACCTCAGATGCATCTGTATTTTGCTGGGGTTGGTTGCATATCATTCCTTTGTTATATGCCAAAATAAACTTAGAAACACTGGAACTTCAAAGTAATATTAATATTGTACTGTGATGTTAATACTTCTTCACTGAGAATTGGAAAATGCTTTTGTTAAACATCTTTGGAGATACTAGCTTTAGAAGAGACTAGCAAGATAGCTATGTGATTGTTGATAAATACTGTGAAGTGGTTATAGAGAAGAGTGAAAACAACTTACATTAGAAGCTCAAATTAAATAATTAATTTAACTGCTTGTAATAGTTTCTCTGTATGTATACTAAATTCATATTGTAGCTATCTAATATTTTTGTGTATTAGTTTGCAATATTCAGGTACTATCTGTTGGTGCTCTGGTTCAGGAGGCCATTGAAGCTTTTCTTAATAATGAAATGAAAAGTGAACCCAGACTAATTTCACAAGAAGCAGAGAGTTCTGGAGAACAAAATGAGGTAAGTATATTCCCTTGGTTTTGTCTTGGCTCTAACAGGTAGAATGAAATGCGTAAGGAAAAAAAGCATGTTTGAATTTTTTTACAAAATTTCAAACTTAATGCTAAGTTTTGACAGGTAAGACTGCAAGAATCAGCTTGAATTTACAGACTTGTTTTTTTCTGAAGATGTAATTTTCATTCTAATCCATTTCATGTCATATTTAATACAAGGCCCAGGACAACTTACCGAATTCACCAGCAAATCTTCTAGAGGAACTCCAAACAGAACCCACCACAAGTAAGTATTTCTTGCTGCACAGATCTTCCTGTGTGTCGCAGGGCCTTGGGATACCTCAGTCTTTTGCATGTCTTGGCAGACATTTTCCCCAGCCCTCCTTTTATGGAGAGGTCTGCAAAAGCCCTTTTCATTGCTCCTCTGCCTAGACATAAGACAAGGCCTTTTCCCCATGAGGATGGCCAAAGACTGAAACAAATTTTCTGGAGAGGTAGTGTAGTCTCCATATTTGTAGGTTTTCCAGATCACATGGGGTAAACATCTGAGAAACCTGGACTGACCTTATAACTGATGCCACTTTGAGCTAAATGTTCTGTTTGAACTAGGTGACATTGAGAAGTTGCTTCCAACCTGAATTTCTCAATGCTTCTATGATTCTAACAATTTTATATACCTTCTGTATTGATTTGTTCAAAGAATAATAACAAGCCATGTACTTTCATTCTTTATCTGTAATAATGAATTTGATAGTAATAGCATCATCAATCTTTATTTTAGAACCTATTTTAGACTATTGTCCTGTTGAAAAAGATCCATCCCAGGAAGAATTTGAATTGGATAGCAGTCAGGATGGCCTATCCAAGGTTAGTAGTCCAATTTTAGTTCCTTCTTTATAAAAACACGTTAGTTAAAATAGTTAAATGAATTAAATGGTGATACATTTTCATCATTCTGAATTACTGAAATCAGTTCAAGCATTTTCTGTATTTTCTGAAATATGAAAAGGGGTTATTGTGAAAATCTGTTTTTCTGTATGTTACTTAGAGTTGTACATCATGTTAAAATTCTATATTTTCTTGTGAAATCTCACTTTTACATAAGATGTGGTATTTTCTATGACATTTCTGAGTTGCAAAAATGTACTTCTGCTTGCTGCTGCCAAGCAGATCATTCATCCCATGCCAAGGTTTCTTTTCTTTATGTTAAAAATGCTTAATTCTGCAGTGATTTCTTTGGCCTACTGCTCATTCAAAATTACTCTCAAAGCTAAGATATAAAAGAATCCCTGTAAAACGAATGAATTTATGTGCTGATGTATGAAATTCTCAGTGGTAGTGGAAATCAGGATAAACTGAGAACCAGAACACTTAATTTTAATTTCTTGGCATTCATAGCCTTGGTCTCTCTATCTTGTTTTTTTTCTGCATTTTTGTAGTGTAATCATGGAAGTCAGCTGGAGATTTCAATTAAACTAGGCATTTTTTACAATTAAAATTATTCTCCTTAATAGACCCCCAACTATTGAACAGCCACCACCCCAATATAAATAAATAAATAGTATGTGATAGAAAATGTGGGGTCATACACTTTTCAACAACTCTTTTCAATGACTGTTATGGATATTCTGAGCATACGTTGCACTCTTCCACAGCTATCTGTACGTGCCCAACTTGGTGCTGCATCACAGAAATGGCTGAAGAATGGAAAAAGTGTTCCCGATGAATTACTAATAGACATCCTATTGGAAGCCATTGCGTATGAAATTGTATAGATACTTTTTTTTATCTACTCTTGTTTGACAGTAAATTGTCTCAAGTACCCTGAAGCGCAGTTAGCACTTAAGTTCCTACATTAATATCATTTAAGTTGTATTACTCCTATTAGTATACTGTAAGTTACAAAACAGATTTTCCTATTCATTACTTCAGCAACAAAGTTATTTGAAAAATCTTAAATTATACCTCTGATCAGTCTCTATTGAGTGGTTTTGAATCTTTATTTATCAAGACAGCAAAATTTGTTTTGTTTCTGATTTTTTTCATGTTAATTAGACTTGATGTTATTTTCTTCTGATTTAAAATCCATTACTTTACAGTCTAATAATATCTGTCATATTCTGTATGCATAAGGAAATTTAATATACTGAATTAAGAATGGATGATGGCTAGAGCAAGCTGTTCTTTCAGTTTTATTTTTAAGCAATCATTTAACTCTGTAATTCTGGTTCTTCATTTCCTTTTAGCCAAATACCACCAGAGAAGGGGTGGATTGTGGAGGGGTTTCCAATGACAATTAATCAGGCAAAGCTATTTGAAAAATCCTATACAGGGATTGATGTAGAAGCAAAAGATCCAATTTCTGAAAAGCTGTCCCTTGCTATAGATCCAAGAGCCCCTAATGAGCCTCCTCCTACCTCACCTGCATTTGATGTTTCTATATTACTGGATATTTCAGACAGTCTGGTACTGAAACGTGCAGCTAACATGAAGTGTAAGTTTCTAATTCCTATTAACAAAGTAAAATGACAAGCAGTAAGTTGTAGTTATTAATGCAAAAAAGCATTACTGGATAATTTGTGTATATCTAACACTATCACTTCAGTTAATTGTGCTTTGAATACTTCCATGCTATTTCAGATACTTCTGTTTGTTTCAGTCGAAGGCAGATAAGTGTGCAAGTGCATATGTATATGCTCCTTTGTATTTATACGCTCTTGTACAGTTCACTTTTGTATTTGAACTCTAACTGCAGCTGAGATAGCACAGTGGGCAGTGTTAGATATCACATAAAACAGCAGCTGGAAAAAACTACAAGTTATAACAGATGCAGAATATACTGCATTACAAATGAGTGTCTGTAAATCTCATATTTCTCCAGGAGACACACCTAGAAAGAGAAAAAGGTAATTATAAACAGAGGGATGTGCCAATATTCATTCCCTGAGAGTGCCAGAATAAATTCCCTATTGATTACTGCCTTTGCTTTGTCTTCAGTTATTCAGTGAATGATCAGAAATCTAAGTCAATTCTGGCCAACCGAGGCAAAGGCATTAAAGGCTTTTTGAGAGCTGTTTCACTTCCAGACCACACATTTTAAGACCTTGGTGAAACAGAAGTTTTTTTATATGTATGTCATGTATTATCCAAATTATAGGAGATTCTTCTTTGTTGTTTTCATTGCAGTGCATAGATGGCAAATAGCTTGAGTTAAAACACCATTTACATTTAGCTTTTATGTATGGGTAAGAGTGAGGATGGGGCAAAATCTTTGAAGCTTTAGCTAAAATTCTGGTGAGGATAAATGTTCAGATACTTGAAAATTGCTGATTTTAAGACCTTGTGCTGCCAAAACATTTGTAACATGTGGTTATATTTAATATAATCTCAGAAATACAAATAGAATTTCTTTCTTATGATGTAAATGATAGAGAGAGTAAACAGAATAATTAAAAATCAGAATTCTTTTTAAATGGTCTATTTCTAATGAATTAAAGGCTTTTTAAAATTTAAACAAGACTTAGAAAGAGAGAATGCCTTGTCTTTTCATTAACTGGAATGTCCATTCATTGTGAAAAGTAGGTACTTCAGATGAAATTGGGGAAAATGTCTTCTAATTGGTAGAGTAGATATGCCTGAAACAGTTGACCACAGGAAAGCTCCATCTCTTCAGCTGTGGGGAGATTTTTATGGCTGAAAAGCATCCATTAGGAAATGTTAGTGCTATAATTTGCTATGCACTTGAACAGAGGAAGAGGCAGGACACCCTGTTGGTGTTGGCTGGTACCCAGCATTTAAGTTACAAAATGTAAGATCAAGGAACACTGAATTTGTTCTTAAAATGATTATCTTAGTTTGGGTGAATAACTGTCTGAATAATTGCCTTTTTCAATATATGCTTATATATTGGTTTTCCACACAGTAGATAAAAGAAAGGCATCTCAGGCTGAACAGAGCAGCAATCAAAATTCAGATGCCCAATTCCTAGAAGAGAAGATTGACTTGGCCAGGGAGCAGGTGCTACATAGGTAAGTTATATGAAGTACAAAAATAGCATTTCAGCTACATATAGGCATATAACTGATCTGAATCTCATATGTGATCCTGGACAACACTTACATGCTTAATGTTAAGAATTTACTTAGATCTTTCTATAATGTGGAGCCTAAAGGATATTTTCATCTTCTGCACAATATAAATTCTCCTGGAAAATAAGAATTCTTGTGTTTTGATTTTCCAGGATATTGTTCCATGGAGAATTTCATTTTTAGGTATATTTTGCATTAACTACGTGTATACATTCTATATATATATGTGTGTGCACTTATATCTGAGGTCTGTCACATATGTGACTGCCTTTAAATAAATACACTTGAGTTAGAGGTTTTGTAAAATGTTATTTTCCACTTCGACATTTACAAAAACAACTTAATTTTCTAATTTAAATTTAATCACTAGATGTTTGATGTTACATAAAGAGGAAAATAAGGAAAAATTCTTCATTCTGAATATTTGATACTTGTAATTCTTTCAGACTATTATATTATGTATTACTGTTGGTTTAATTGTGATATTAGAAAATAAATATAGGTTGTGGCATGCACGAGTAAGAAATAAATTTTTAGCTATCAATAGAATTTTGAAAACTTTCTTATATTTAAAATGATGGCATTGATGTGGGTGGAGTTGTTTTAGTGTTAAATTAGATTATCAGCTTTTTGTTTTAGTTATCAATTTTAGAAAATGTTTTGTTTTCCATTCATTAGGTTTTGATTTCATACCTTCATATGATTTTTGTAGAATTTCAGGCTTCCTAAAGACATGGCCAAAATTAGAGAAATGGTTTTCAGTCCATCAAAACAATCTAGTGAAAGTAAATGCAGAGACAGAAGAAAGTCTTGTGTGTGAAACAGTGAAGGATATTATAATAGAAGAAATTGTAAAAAATCAGGATAGAAGTAAGTTTCATAGTCTTACTTTATAGAATTCAGTAACAAAAGACTGTTTTTTTTTAAATTAACACTAATAATTACTATATAAAATTATATGTCAACCTACATTTTTGCTGCCCCTGAAAAAAACCTGAGGATTTGCCAGTTAGTGATAACTGCACCAGAACCCTGAACTTTTCTGTTGTGCTTTCACATTTTCAGAGTATATGGACCAATTTCACATAAAATTTAAGGCATTAAGTTCTTTCTTCCTGGTTTAAAAATCACAGCCAGCATCTTCATCTATGGGATAGCATAAATGTATAAGAAAGTCTCATTTGCTATTATGAACATTGAGTCAGTATCATATATCATATATCAATAGCAGCATAAAAATGTGGGTCAGTAGAAGTGGTTTTGCGAATTAATTTTGATACATCTTTGTTTCGTTTTTCTTCCTTATTACGTAGAAAAAAGAAGCATCATGTAAACCAGTAATAGTGACCTCTATATAACTAGGTTTTTTCGTAACTATTATGACAAAATCTTCATGTGTCTTCTATCACCAAAAGAAAATAAAAAAACAAACTTGAAAAGCACTAGTGACAGTAAAAGTTTATCCCACTACTCTTGTGCAAGGTTTCTAGTTCATAGGTTTCTTTTATGTTCTGGGTATATAATTAATGGCCCTGCTAGATTCAGCAGCAAAATTCCTATTGTAAATGGAGTGAAGATTTTCTAGTTAGTCTCCAGCTGTAATATAGAAGTATTTAAGGGCTATTTACTCCCTAAGGAAAAATAATACCTGGGATCAATTAATAAAGTTTAATTTCATATCTATGTTCATAGCTTCAAGCTATCCTTCACTATTAGGCTCATATAAGCAGAATAGAGTATCAGGTTAGTCAAATATGTTTTCTCTTTAGTGAATCCATGCTGACTACTCCTGCAGCTTCTTGTCTTCCATGTGGATAGAGATGGTCTCCAGAATGATGGGCTTCATCACCTTTCCATGGATTGAAGTGAAACTGACTGACTGGTGTCACACAGCCCTGTGTCCTCCTTCTTGCCTGATGTGAAGATCAGGGTGACATTTGTTTTCTTGCAGTCCTCAGGCACCTCTCCTGATCTCCATGGCCCTTCAGACATGATCATGAGCTGGGAGCTCATGTCTGCCAGCTAGCTATTGTGTCTGCCAGCTCCCTTAGCACTTGGGGATGCATCCTGTCAGGGCCATGGATTTATAGATGTTGAGTTTGTTTTGGTGTTAACTGATACAGTCTTCCTTGAGAATTGCTGATTTCATGAGTATATTTTTGGCGAACAACACCTGAGTAAAGAAACAGTGAATCTGTTCCATTATTTTGAACCTGTGAGAGTAGCAGAGATGTCTAATTCTGTTTATTGATACTTCAAATACATTTGGAAGTACTAATTGCACTTTTTTATCAAGGGTCTGCTGAAGAAATTGCACCAGAAGAAAATGTTTCACCAGTTACAGATGAAGAAGAAGTTTTACAAGTCATAGATGAAGAAGAAAAAGTTTTACCAGTTATAGATCAGCCTTCGCCCTTTCCTGAGGCACCACCAATGATTGAACCAGGATCAGATGAATGGATTTATGTAGACGAACCACTTCCCCAGGTACACTAATTCCTGACTGAAAATCTTAAATTTTTCTTCGTGTTTTATGTATGTCCTACCTAAACCTTTTACATCATTGGATATTGGGTTTTTTTCAATATTTTTCAATAAAAGGTATGCTATTACTTTGTGATAGATATACAAAGAACAGTTGCTACTAAAATACATAAAGTAAGGAATCATACTTTCAAACGTAATTCTGTTTTTTAATTCTTTGCAATTATCATGAAGAACACAGCTGCCAAAACAGAAATGCTTTTTACTATTGTGAAATACTAATACAAACTTAATAGATCACTTTTCTTTTTCTGAGAAGGGTGAGTTTTGGAGCTCATACAAAGAGTAAGAATGTGGAGAGTGTGCACTAATTTTTCTGCTAGTATATTTTTTCCTAATATTTTTTTCCCAAGGATATCTACTCAGAGTCTAGTGATCTGAAATTTAGGGGTTTTCTGAAATGGCTGTATATCTGCATCTTGTGCTTAGTAGCTCTCAATGGACTTTTCTTCCATGATTATGTGTCTTAGTTGGTTTAATAGCTTTTTTGAAGCCATTTACTTTTTCTTCTCTGTGACATAGCTTGTATAATTATGTTAATTCTGAAAAAATATTTCTGTTTCTTCACTTTAAACCATGATCTTTGCTTGGATGATTTGGTGACCCTGATTCATGGTGACACTAATTCACATATTGAGAGATATAATGAATAATAATTCTATAATAAACCTCTGAGGGCATTTAAGACATGACAAGTATCTCTTAAATGTTCATTTTGCTGAATGTTGCTTTTGTTCTCCAATCTAGTTATAATCTGTTCTAGTTCTTCTGTAAATTTTTTGAGAGGAGCAACTGGGACCGCATGCAGTTTTTGAGATACAGATTTTTGAAGGGTGGACAATGATGATTTGAAATTTGTTCTGTAATTGTTTTCCTAATGTTTACCAGTTTTTCCTGTTAACTGCAGTCAGCTTTCATATGCTGCGTTTCCTCTGGCCATGGCCTTTATTTACCTTTCAAAACAGTCAGTCAGTCAAACATCACTTTTGCAACACTAGGCAGTCAGCTTAGATTTTTATGAGCTCAAACAGCTATGAATTACCAAATTTTCTTACTTCAGTGATCATTCGGTGTCATCACTTATTTTACAAGCATATCCAAAACAGCCAATACTGGAATATTCTGCTGGAATTTCCCATTCCTTTAGAGACCTACCACTTTTTCCCAAAGAAATTCACAGGATAAAAGTATATGTTGGTACAGTGTCTGTAATCAGCTGTAAACCAAAAGAAATACATAATGAAAAAAAAATCTATAATATGATTTTATGAAATAATATTTTTGTGTATTTGATAATGCTACAGATAAATTAATTACCAATAAATAAATCCATTAATTTTTGATGTTTTTAAAAAATTCACAGGAGATAATTGATTTTTTAGTACCTTACTGGGAAATGGTAGAAAATACATATATGAATACGATCAAAACTGTACTTAGATGTCTAAGGGATGAACAGTACACTATAATCCACTACACAGCAGATATTAGGTAAGTAGGAATAGTATCTTATTACATTAATATTAACATTTTGTATTTTTCATGGACCATTCTGTAACCCAAAAGTTATTTTTACTGCAATTTACAGAAAAAAATTTCAAGATTATTTGAAACGTCCACATCTTAAGCAGGAGTTTGTATCTCAGTGGCAAAGAGATTTTAATTCAATTGCTGATGAGCTGCAAGATGACGAGGAAACAAAAGCTGAACTACACCAAAGGGTTACTGTAAGTAAATGACAGAAATTACAATATACCCTAGACTATTATTTGCTTGTATACAAGCTTGATATAACATGAATTATTTCCTTCTTTCTTCCTCTTTACAGTTCTTCTTAAACTATGTTATTTCCTCTTGTGCATAATTTGTCCTTTAAAATTATTCCTCTGTTGCCCATAATTTTCTTACATCTTACTGTGGTATTGTGGTACACTGTGAAATAAATATTTCTCTGCTCTCTTTTATTTTTACATTTTGTGGTTTTCAGAGATTTCACAAGTTGAATATTTCTATCACAATCTAAAAATTCTTGGCAGTATTTTATTTTTTCTGTAAATTATATATGTTAATCTATGCTTTCTAAAACTGATTCTTACAAAGTACATAGAATTTTTTGGGGTGTTTTGGTTTTTGATTCAGGTAGATCTTTTCTAGGTCCTGTCCTAAGCGGTTTTTTTGTTTGGTTTTTTTTTTTTTTTTTTGGTTTTTTTGGGTTTTTTTTCACAAAAATCCATAACTAAATGTCCCCACAAGTTCAGAGCCAGATTTAGTATAAGCCAAAAGTAGAGCTGTTTTTGGATTCATCAGATTCCATTCCAGAACAGACATGATTTTTAGTTGAGTACTATCAGAAATGCTCCCCCCAAAGGAGAAAAGGAATACTGACAACATTTTTAGCTGAAGGGAAGATTTGAGGAATAATGGTTTAATTCATCTGCAATGGAAAAAGCATTGGACCTCCTTTTCCATAGAAATATTCCAAGAGAATGGAGTACAAGATTGAAAAATCATCCATATTCCTAATTTCTACTGAATGGCATTATAAAAAGTCTAGAATCACTCTGTCTTTTATTTTAGAAAGATAAATATTTGGTCTTTTGCTCATAAGAGAAATCCCTGTTTGACATTATCCAGTTCAAATTATGTGAAGAGGAGGTTATACTTCCATATTATGAAGTGAAACTCAGATACTGTGATAAGCCTAAGCACTTTGGAGTGAATATATGATTTTCAGAATTATTTTTTAAATAACCCATTCACTCCTTGTGACTCCCAAACCTGTAGGTGATTGTGAAGATGATCTTCCTCTATGCTGTTAAAGCATGCTCATTGTATCTCCCTGAATGTATGAATTCTGTCAGCCGCCCTTCCTTGCTGTTAGAAAGAAAGAGGAAATGAAGAGAGTGACAATCTTCATAATGATTTTCCTCAAACTCACAGACTCCTCAACACTATCATCTCAGCTGGACCCTTCCTAAAACACTGGAAAATATCAGCTGTAATATCTAAAAAATAATTTTCTCTGATATCAACTGGGAAATGTAAAAAGTCACCCCATTTTGAGATGTATGTAAAAGTCCTTAAAGGCCCAAAACCCAGAGAACAGCCAAGACTTTGGCCTGATTTATGGTTTAACCCCAGCCTTCACTCAAGCCTCACACAGCCACTGACCTCCCACCAGTGGAATGGGGGAGGGAATTGTAAAAGTGAGAAAGCTCGTAGCAACAGGCAAAGCAAAAGCTGTGCACAGAAGCAAAGCAAACAAGGAATTCATCCACCACTCTCCATGGGCAGGCAGGTGTTTGGCCATCCCCAGGAAAGCTGGGCACAATCACACGTAGTGGTGATTTGGAAAGACAGACACCACCACTCCGAGTGTCCCCTCTGCTTCCTTCTTCTCCCTATGCTTTATATATTGAGCATGGTGCCATATGGTACGGAATGTCCCTTTAGTCATCTGGGGTCAGCTCTTCTAGCGGTGTCCTTCCCAGCTCCCTGGTACCCACAGCCCCAGTGCTGGTGGGTTGGGGTGAGGTGCACAAAAGACCTCGGCTCCATGCAAGTGCTGCTTAGCAATAAATAAATCATCCCTGTGTTATCAGCATCATGTCCAGCACAAGGCCAAACCATAACCCATACTCACTGCTCTGAAGAAAAGTAACTCTTCCCAGCCAAAACCAGCACACATCCTAGATATCCAAACACAGAATTACTGTGGATAAAATACACTTCAGCAGTACATGACTATCTGTCTTCCAGCAATTTCTCCAAATTCTCTCTCATTGCATTTCTATCATTGAATATATTATTAGTTGCTTGTTCTCACTATTTCTCTTGTTCCAAATAGGAGAGGACTGAGCAAATTCATCCATTTTTAGTTTTTTCACCACCTTACTACAAGAAAAGGAGAGAGAAGCTGCTTCACTCTGAAAAGAGAGGAAAAAAAGAAGATATTCATAAAACATGTTTTTAGCTTCTCCCAGAGGAATATAACTCACTGTATTCCTCTGCAGTTTTCTCCTTTGCTTACAGCAAATCTAAGCTATGACTTAAATAATATGAGGACAAAGAGTAAAGTCCTTCTTGTTACATGTTTAAGAAAGATACTGGAAAGAGCTGTACATCAGTTTGTACAAAACATTTGTGTGGTTTTTTTGTGCAATATTGCATTTATGTGAAAGTTTTTTTGTGACAAAGGGGCTGCAGAAGTGGATTCTGTAAGAAAGCATGGCAGCTGTGAGACAGAAGTGAGAAAATGTGACAAGCAGCTCTGTAGTCACCAGGGACAGTGAAGAAGGAGGAAGAGGACCTGCTCCAGGTACTGGAGCAGAGATTCCCCTGTGGCCTGTGGAGAAGGTCGTGGTGATGCAGGCTGTTCCACGGAAGCCCATGGAGGACTGCAGGGAAGCAGATCTCACCCTGCGGTCCACGCGGTCCACCCAGTCTGTATCAGGTGGACATGCTGTGAAGGAACAGCAGCCTGTGGAGAGCCCAACCAGAGCAGGTTCCTGGCAGGAGCTGTGGCCCAGGGAGTATGCACACTGGAGCAGTACAGTCGTAAAGGACTGCACACACAGAAAGGTTGTTGAAGAACTGAAGCCTATGGGAAGGACTTGCATTAGAAAAATCCATGCAGTTTTCCATGGGAGGACCCTCACCATGGAGCAGGGAAAGAGTGGCAGATAAAAATGTATAAAGAACTCACCTTAATTATTCATTTCCCCATTTTTCCTATGCCATTTAAAACAGAGAAAAGTCAGGACTGAAAAGTCTTCCCAGGCTTAAATAAGCCCAGGAAGAAAAATGGATGGGTGAAAGGTGGTTTTAGGTTTGTTTTATTTCTCATTATTCTACTGTTATTAAATGGCATTAAATTAATTGCCCCAAATCAAGTCTGTTTTGCATACGATGGTAATAGGTGAGTGATCTCCTCATCATTATCTTTATGCATGAACTTTCCATCATATTTTCTCTCCCTTTCCTGTGAGGAAGAGAGATAGAGCAGTTTGGTGGACAGCTGGCAGCCAGCCAAGGGTAACTCACCGCTGCCAATAGATATTCACATGCTAAAATATTTTTCATCCAGCAGCATACCCGTATGTGCATATTCTACAATGTGAGCAGCCATGAATGTCTGATTGCCTGCACCTTGACTACTTTCTAGCCATCATTATTGTGTTAGGTAGCCCAGGGACTTCCCTGTGGCTTTTGTCCAAGAGAGGGTAAGTGGCTTTATCTGAAGTCTTCAGATGGGGGAGAGATACAGAATCTGACATAACAGGTTGCAGCCAAGACCTGGTGAATATGGAATCACTTCACAGAAATCTAAGCTCCTCTCCTTTTCTTCTGTCCCAGAACAGGTCATGTCGGGTAGAATTTCCTGGTGCCAGAGACATCTTGTCTTACCTTGGCACTGTATTTAACAGCACTCTTCTCCTATATCCTTCTATTTAACTCCACTCTTCTTCTCTTACACATAGTGGCCTGTCACACTATTTCCATGCAGAGATGGCAATAAGGAACAAAGAGGTGCATAATGTTTTATGCTTAGTAGGCCCTCGGTGCTGTCAGTGACCCCATATTGTTATTTGACATAGTCACTAGCTGAAGAGCCCTTAATTAAATGAACATTAGGGAAAACTGGTGTGGAAGTGACTCAAGTTTGAAAAACACTTGATATCTGACACAGTTTTCTCAGTATTTTTCATGTTGCCCATTCCCTGAGAGTACCATTCTTAGCCTATTAATTAGCAAACCATTCAAGTGCAGAGTTGCTGGTGCAGCTGGGAGCTCAGCTATTCACAGTTTTATATTTTTCTAACTTAGGTAGATTCTTAGCTCTTCATAGTCTCGTATTTGTCTAGCTTAGGTAGATTCTTTGTAGACTCCTTGAAAACAAAGTTAACAATTTCCTTACTATAGCACTGACTATTTCACAGACTTTTCTTGAATTACCACAACACTCACATGAGGTAAGAGAGTGGTTCCCCTTTTTTTTAAACATATAGAAATAGCAGAGAGAATTCTTCCCTGCCTGAGAAAAGCAAGGCTGCCTGCACACTGAACACATATTTTGTGTTCTTCTCTCTGTCAGCCCTCTATAGGCATGTGACCTGAGCAGGTGTTAATATTTATGACAGTGCAGGAAAAGCCCCAGATGGAAAGTTGCCTTATACACGGAAAAAAAAAAAAAAAAAAAAGTTATCTTTCATAATTAATTACCATATTTGATTTTGTGTTTTAGGACCTAAGAGATCTTCTCTGGGATATCTGCGATATCAGAAGGGAAGAAGCAGAGCTGGAACGTATTGGTATCATGAATGAAGAGTGGTTACCAGATCGTAGGGCGATTGCAATGAACCATTTCTTTACACTTATGCAGGTATGGACTGCTACAGTAATCCTGAGAGGAAATTCATATGGTTGGCTCCAAATAAGTGAAGGATTAAAAATTAATTAAGCAAATGTTCATGTGTTTTCTGAATTTATAGACAAAGATAAGAGACAAAGAAGAGATGACATGCCATACATTTAACTTTGGAATACAGGAAAGAGCAAGAAAAATACCATTCTTCTTGTTCAACCCCCAGAACTTTCAATCTCTACTATATACTGCTACTTTTCACATTTTTTGAGCTCCAGTGAATCATCTTGAGTTTTGTGACAGAAATGTTATAGCTCTTTATCCTTCTGTGATCATATTGACATAGCCTTTTAATTTATGAATTACATCATTCACAGCTTGATGTTATAGTATTTCCCATATCTCAATTTCATTTCACTGATGTAGCTTGAAATTTTATCTGCTGACCAACAAAAAGAAACCCCAAAAAGTCAAGTTATGTTTTGAGATTGAGACACAATTTGCTGCTGTTGTTCAGATATGGCCCAGCTTTCAGATATGTAACTTCAAAGTTTTCAAGAGTCCATTCAGTCCTGCAGTAAAGTAAGATTTCCCTGTTTACTGCTGTTCTAGGTGCATAAATTTAGTTTAGAATTGGATTGGAGTTCTCTAGACTAGACTAGGCTAGACAGGCTTTTGTGCAAACTGAAGTGACCATTCTTTGAAAGTTATGGCAAATTTAAATAAGACAATGAAAACAGTGTTTTAAACACATGCCTTGTGATGCTAATTTAGCTGAAAAAGCCAGGCCTCAGCAGTTTAGGTTGGTCTTTCAGCCCTTTAATTCTCTCTGCTATTTTTATATGTTTAATAAAAAGGGGAACCACTCTTATCTCATGTGAGTGTTGTGTTAATTCAAGAAAAGTTTGTGAAATAGTCAGTGCTATAGTAAGGAAATTGCTAACTTTGTTTTCAAAGAGTCTACATAATGCCCTAAATAAAGATTTTCAGCCACTGACCCAAAAGGTCAGTGAGAGGTCAAAATGTCGAATAACTGCTGACTATCTGAACCCCTCATTGGTCCTGTAACTAGGATATTTATAGTCCTGAATATTTTAAAAAATCCATCTTGAACTATATACATGAAGGAGACAAAGTTGTCCTACAAAGCTTAAAGATTTTATTATTCTCCTTTTATGTGTAGCTATATGTTTGCAGTCCTACTTCTAACAGAATTTCATGGGCATATATGATGGAGTTCAGAGGAGATTCACTATGAATCTAATTTGATCTGTCTTTTGTGGATATGCATAATAACTGTTTAAAATTACTATGCTTTTTTTCATCAAGAAAAATTTAATAGAAAACATTTCTTCTTGCTTTACTTAGTACATATTTCCCGAAATAAATGAATTATTAATCCTTAAACTACAGTACTAAAAATATAACAACTATAACTTTATGTAATAATTATTTTTCTTAGAAGCATCCAAAAATAGGCTTCTTTGTCATTGAGTTCTCCATTTGTGGGGTTTTCTGTTGGAGGTTACATATATTCCCCAGGTGGCTCTGTAATTGTGTAAACTTAGATTTGTATAGATGCCGTTTATCAGATTTCATTCCTTTCTATGTACAGTTATACTAGAAGATATTTCCTCCTTAACTTATGGATAAGTGCTGGTTTACACCACAAAGGTTTTATCCTTTGTTTTGCGAATGTGGTTTTGTGCATTTTCCCATGAATATTTAGTACTGTTTTGTCAGTTAGAAACTAACACCATACTGAATCAATAAATCAAAACATGACAGGTGTTAAATGTTTCTTGAATCTTACTTAATTTCTTCTGAGATGATTCACACAAAAAGATCATAATACTTAGGTGTTCAAGATTACTTAGGTCCAGAAAAACTGTATGACTTTTATAATTTTCTCCATCACATAAACATTTTATTTTATGCTTTTAAGCCTTTATTTCTTTTGAACAAGAAGAAATAAATCTAATTTGTCAGTACTAGTGTTCTTGCTACTGGGAAATATATATTCATCAAAATATATTGTAATTAAATTTAATGCATTGAACATTATTTATTGTAAATACCTTTTCCTATTTTAACAATTAAGATTATTATTACTGCCTAGAAATGACCGTGTGAATACATTATAGATTTAAGTAGAAGTGTGTATTCAATGTGCTATACATTTTAAAACAAATATGACTGTGTTTCTTGCTCTCCCTCAAACTCTTTAAGAATTAGAATTGCTTATGCTAACATGTGATAACAGAAATATGTTCTGTAATATGGTAAATTGCAATCTCTTTGTCCTTTCCTCTTCAGATTGAACTGGATCGTTTCCAAGATACAAAGCGACTTCTTCATGACTATTACTGGGCAATGGAAGGAAAAATCCCAATAGAAGACACTCAAGATTTTACTAGAATCCCATTGTTAGATATTATTAATGGAGAGCAGAAGGAAGATCAAGACAAATCAAGAAGGTAGAAATATAGCCTAAAATTGAACAAATAGAACACATAAAATGAACAAATAGAATGCACTGATAGGTTTTTGGAGTATATGGAATTATGTGTGTATATTTCAAAGGATGGAGAAATAAGAAATTTTTAAGCAGGGATTATAGTCAAATTATGAATCTCAAATAATTTTAAAGATTACATTTATCCATCATTTTTTACTTATTTACCTGTATCATATTCACCAATGCATCACTGAATTGCAAAACATTTTAAAAGCTGCATCAGGAGGAAATCTACTATCAAAATCATGTTTCCTGCTTTCCTTTATATTGTTGATAGTTTATAGCACAATTCTCACATATGTAAAGTAAAGTATTGTTGTGGAACATTAGTTGGTTTAAAATTTGTGTCAATAAATAAAATTAAATGTTACAAATTTTATGTAAATGTAAATATAATTAACTGTTATGTAATAGCAGATGTAAATCAAAGCAGCCTACAGAGAAGCACCAAACTGAATGCCATATTAAAAGATGAGGGATACCACCTGATGCTTTCACAATATAGAAAATGCCACCAGTAATAACACCTGATTTTTTTAACATAATTAGAGTGAATTTAGAAATTATCTGAGTAATAAAACTGTGTCTAATCCATGTGGAATTCATCAGCAGATCACAGTCATTTGATAATGTTTTACCCATCTTATTATTTTTAGCTGTTACACTTAAACTGGACATTTTTCTGGCCATACACACACCTCATCACTCTTGGTCACAAGGGAAGTGCTTCCTTTTTTTTTTTATACTATTGCAAATTTTGAAAATACCATTTCCATTCTTTCAGTGTATTCTCCAATGTAGATACTAACACTTTTTATAAAGCGGCATCTAAGTTATTCCTTGTATTTTATTTTTGAGGATTCCTCTACTTTCTTGGAAGCCACCTTCACCAACTGATACTGAGTCAGAAAAGAGTGGAACTCAGAAGAGCAGTCTTAAGGCTAAGAGTTCTGAAAGTGAAGTGACCACTTATAGGAATGATAAAGATCTTATTATTGATACATGGCAAACAGCAGTAACAGCAGTATCAGATATGGTATGGAATGTTTTATTTACTTAAAGATTTCTGGATTTTACAGTCAAAGCCCCCCCCCCATTCAGCAGGCAGCCTAAACACATAATCTTTGCACTGTTTATCTCAGTTTCATATGTCTTGCTCCACCACTAATATTTCTATTGAGTATGTTTGTAGTTCTATGAAGAAGATGTTGGAGTCTGTGTTTTCAGCACCTCCATATTTATAAGTGAGCCTTTCATTCCATTACTGAGAAATATTTCAAATGTTGCCTCTATGTATCTTCTTCCATGATAAACTATTCTCTTATCCCTCAATAGAAGTGTGAGAAGATGGATAAGTTTAATCCTTGCTGCAGTGTTTGCTCAAAGCTTTCACTTGTTCAGACCTATGGTTACGTTCTTTTTTCTGTATAGCTTAAAGTAAATTAGGTAAGCTTTTCAAATGGTTGATTTCTAGGTAAGATTTTTATTTTCTCTTTGATCATTTAAAATAAATAAACTTCTGCCCCCTTATCATGTAGCTGTAGGTTTGCTTTGTGTACTGTTGATTCTTGCTTTTCTAATGTTTTCCTCAAGCACAGGCAGTGACTGCAAGAATTAAATTTCAGTATGCCTCTGTCTTGCATTTTTGCTGCAGAATTTTAATTTTGATAAATAATCAAAATTTAGTCAATTAGTTAAGATATATCCTTTGGTTTTCTTAATATGTCTACTTCTCATCAAGTACTTTCAACAAGCATAGGCTATTTAAAACAGTAGTTGCACAGACCTGATACTATGTACTGTACTATGTGTGACTGTGGTGTCAAGGTAACAGCTGAAATAGAGTTTCTAGAAATGGAGGAAGAAAAAGAACGCCAGCTAAAACAGAAACCTTCAAAAGCTGCACAGAAACAACTAGACAAAGTGGCTGGGAATGATAGCAAAGGTTCCAAAAAGGCGTCTTCCAAATCACCTCCTAAAAAAAAAGGTATTTAAAATGCAGGCTTTGTTTTAGCAGTGCTTAAAATAACTTGAATGTAAATATATGAATAATACAGAAATTAATAACCCAAGACATTTAATTAGTATTTCATTTCTCTTTTAAAATGGGACATCAGTATAAAAAGCTGGTAGTGATAAAGGAGGGGAAAGGCTTTTGAATGGCAACTGCATTTATTTAAATATTTGTAGTTGTTATATGTAGAAATAAATATTCTAAAGGGAAAGTAAATATTTTTTCTTCATATTCTATATCGGAATGGAACAGTTAAAGGTAGTTTATGGATAAAAGTCTATTAAATTGTGCCTACTTGACTGAAATCCTAAAAAAGAGCAGATTCCTATTGACGTAGATCTTGCACATAGGTCTGGCAAGAACCAATCCCACCAGGTGAAAATGGAAAATTTATTTCCAGGAGAGAAAAACAGGCAGTGTTCTGGAAGAAATTGTGGCATGCAAGGCTGTTTATGCACTTTCTCGCAATTTTTTCCTTGTTCAGATAGTAGTTTATGTAATCTTCACCTTTTGTCTGCATTATGTCATAACTTCATTAGGAAGTGAGGCCTGTAGCCTAAACTTTGGTATCTTTTGTTAAGACATTCTGCATAGCAAGAGAGAGGTTCAAGCCCTGTGGGTGTAGGATAGCCTGAAATTTGTGTACTCCAAATGAGAAAGCTGTAACTTCAGAATTATTGTGCATAACACTGTTGACTTTTTTTTCTGTGACAGGAGTTTCATTTGTACTATGCTCAGTTCTTTCTCTCTCTAGATATTTCTGCCCATACAGAGTGAACAGAAGCATAGCCTTGCAAATATGTAGCCAATTGTGAGTCCCAGGAAGCCTTAGGCTTAGTTTAGCATCTCAATTTAGCCAAGAGAGCGGCAGATTTTCAGACTTCTTAAAAAGTTTTGTGATAAAACTTAGCAGCTGTTGCATGCTAGTTTGAAGTTTGTGGATTGCTTCTTGGAAGCAAATTTTTCTTCAAACCTGGTACAAGATTATCTGAAATAACAAAACCAGAACTGCAGCTAGAAAGCTGTGTATTCTTCCTAATAGAAGATGAACAGATGGATTTGTAACTATAGTATTGACTTTGATTTCATTTCAAATACAGTGTTACTGTAGTGTTCCTGTAACATGAGAACTCCCTAGGACAGAGATATGGCTGGTAACAGAGTGATACAACTTAGCACATGTAGTTTTATCACTTGTAAAACTGACCATTTGTTTTGTGTTGACCTTGTGTGTCATGCAGATATCATTATATTTTTTTCTGTAACATCTGCATCTGCTCTTCTTCTAGGATAAAGTATTTACAAATATTTTAATATTGTTGAGTAATAGTAAATCATGTGATTACAGAATTCCATGAAATCTCTAAAAACGTGAAAATACCTATCTCTTCACAGATAAGTCAGAACAAGGTAGAAGTGCAAGTTTGAAGGGGTATGAAATAACAGATCTCCTTTTTTTCAGGTTTTTTCTTTATAATAGCATAAATCTTATCACTGCTTTGGTGGTAACTACTACCATAACATTTTTACTATAGTTTGTTAAACTTTAATTTGATAAATTAAGAATAAACAAGTATTATTCAAAAGACATTTATTAATGTTCTCATTGTGATAAACTGGTAAATACTAGGATCAAACAGGACATTTTGACCATCTAGGATCAAATGAGAGGCACACTTATTCAGTCATGATCTTCCATTTAGAAATACATTTTAGGATGCTATTTAACCAACTTTAGTACAGTTGTATATGCTGGGGTATTTATATGCAGTATTAACCTTAGCATGACTTGCAGATGTAAATCATGTTTGGCACCTGAGTATCCACCTTTACATTCTCATAAATGGTCACATCAAGTAATGTGGAAAATGTAATTTTTCATGAGACACAAATTTACAAGCAAATCCAAAGACTGAAAGGTCTGTTTTCATGCAGGAGCAAAAGCCAATCCAGTTCCTATAGATCCAGAAGAATTAAGGAAAGAAGAACTGGCACTAAAAATAAAGCAAGAATATTTCAGTGCCTTGAAACACGAGGGTATGTTACTATTTGGTTACTTATATTGGTAGGTGATTGTTATTCCTAATTTGACAAGTATGGTAGTCGATACTAACCAGAGACGGCAGGCAAAATGGATGGATAAGAAAGAAAAAGGAGAGTCAGTCAGGTCTGGAGAAATCAGGGCATATTTTTAGTGTGGTAATCATCAGTCATTCTGTGGTAAATATACTAAAGGTAGTAATATGATTTTCATTCCTTTTATCTTCTGTTTCATTTCATCTAATTTAATTTCATGACTAAGCAAATATTCATCCTGAGAGAAAAGATTTTGCATAAGCTGTTACTCACACTTCAATTTTCAATTGAATTGGATTCAGTATTTGAGATATTTTGTTCTGGGAAAGAATTTTTTGGCATTTGCATATTTCATTGCTTTTTTTCTCTGATTCCCTCCTCTTCAAGCAACATGGGATTCAAGTAGCAGGGCACAGATTTTGTTTGTTCTTCCAAACTGCTTTATGGACAGACTCTTACAAAAGCTGTATATTGTTCGGTCATTCTGTCTCTTTTTCTGTCTTACCCAATAACTTTCAAACAACATGGTTCATTTCAGCCGAAAGGACATGTCTGAAGAAAGGAAGTCCCAAATTGAAAATTGTTTGAGAATTTTTTTTTAAGATAGGTTTAGACTAGAAGAAACACTGTTTTATCATTAAAGGGAAGATAGAACCCAGCTTTTATTGATTCTATTTGGCAACAGTTGGCAAACCCATCGTCACATGGTACCTCTTTGGTGGGCTAGCTATTACATTGTATTTTATTATGAAAAATAGAGGGCAAACAGCAGTTATCAAACAAACCACAAACTCATAAGGCTTCTTTAGATCCAGTCAGACCAAATGCCTACATCTTTGAATATGGTTTAATATGAAAGCTGTTCAAGAAAAAAAAACATACCAAGATCTTGGAGTAATGAAAAGAATAGTAATAACTTTGAAGATCCTAATTGCATGAAGATGAATTTTAGTGATTCATTAACATGTATGTTTTTGTCTTGACATTTTCATCCTATTTTAAGGAAAAAAACCCAAGACCTAAGGAAGGCTGAGCACATTAAACTGTATTTCCTATTTGCACAGGCACATAGTTGGTATTTGTTATCCAGTTACCTCATGGTAACTTGTGGTTTTCATTTATACAGATAGATACAGTCTAGCAAAAGCGTTGTGTATAGTTGCTAAGTTTTTAACATTGATTTAATGTTTAATTTCTCTGTTGCATCAATGTACTTGTTTTATGTTGGTGTTAAGAGCGCAGCTTTATCAGTCATCTCTGCAGTACCTACCTCTGAAAAGACAGGGAGACAAAAATTGTCATGCACTTACTTCTGTAACATACTGATAGCAGCTGCTCAAAGAACATGCACAGAAGCCACAATTACATCAGCCTTAACTGTACTGCAGAAGAATAACTAGCCAAACAGCAAGTATCTTCTAAGGAACTTTTAGCTAAAAACAGTTAAATATGCTGAGTTTTACGTGCTTAGACTGAGAATATTCCTCACATTTTATAAATATTATTCATTATGACTTTACCATTTAAACAGAGGCAGCCACAAAATCTCGGCTAGAACTTATAAAAGAAAAGGCTTTAGCATTTCTTGAGGATCTAAAATTTAAAGCAGAAGAGGCTTATAGAGATATGGAAAAGTGGCTTGGATCCACCTTCTTGGAGGAGAAAACAAGGTAACATGTATCAATTTTAAACAGGATTTTTTTTTTTTTAACCTAGACTGAGGTAGTAAATACAGTTGTGTCTGGAGACAGAAGTATTTTGGGAAAAAAATCTAGAAAATAATAATTTCCTGTAGATTTATCTTAGAAACCTGAATGCTAGTAACTCAGTTCTTGGCTGTTCTGCTTGTAAAGGTAATTATCATGCTATGCTATTTTTCTTGACTACATATTTAGCAGATTACTGAGCAGACAATCAGTTATTTCATTTAGTAGAAAGCTCTGTATAATTTCAGCAACCTCTGTCACTTTGGAGTGTGGGCTTATTTTCTTTCCTGTTTTTTACACACAGTGAAAAATTGCACCTGTTGTTCTTATCACCACATATTACATTTCTAAAATTATTGCAAGGACCATAAAAAATGTTGTACTTCACAGTTTTTCTGTCCTAGTAAATAAAATGTACTTGGGATCACTATAGTACATTAGACTATCTGGCATAGAATGACCAATGTCTGTATCATTAAAGGCCTTTTCCTCTCTAAAGGAAAGGAGTGACTTTGCCCTTTACAAAGTATTTCTGTCCTATACTAACTTTTGAATCATACCTGGGACAGTGCTGCTTGATCCATGTCAGGGCATGACCAAGAAGAGAGGCATAAATGGAGGATTTGAAGGCTCTTACAGGCACTAGCTCAAAGAGGCAAAGCCTCTTCCTTCCAGCCAGTTTTATTTGTTGTCCTCACATGTGCTAACAAAGACACAGCATTTAAGGAATATCATATCCTTTGACGTGACACTTCAAGCCAAATCTGTGTTCAACATTATAGACAGCTGATGTCTTTCCCTGTATAAATTGTACTCATTGCACTTGAAAGAGGAGATCATATGCCTCTCCAGTATGCTAGCCTAGGAAGTGCTTCCATATTTTTCCATCAGGTCTCTTCTGTGTCTTAGATCTGACTTCATATAAATTTCTAATTACAGTCAAAAGATTTCTTGCAGCCAGAGGAAGAGTAGACTACATAATTACTTTGGTAGTTACAGAATTCACACAGAGGGTTTGAAATTCTTACTTTATGAAAGCTTTAAAAGCGTAAGAATATTAAAATTTAAAGCTACGTTGTTAACACTGTGTATTATACTCATGAGTTTCTGCATTTATGCTTTCAGTGTTGAAAAACTGATAGAGGTTGCACGACATCATATTGAGAGTTCTAGCAAAATCCAATATGAAATGACTTTAGAAGGAACAGATTTCTTCATCAATAGCGATATAAAAATGGTTCCTGACCCTGTTCCTGACCCTGTTCCTCCACCAGAATTTCAACACATAGAAATCTCTGGAAGCAGTGCTCTAACTATTTCACAACTTACTACATTTCATAAGCAGTTTCTACGGCTGGCACCTAAAGGTAAGAAATTTTTACCTTTTAACTCCCGAAGGACTGCTGGTTATCTGCTTAAAATCTGAAGTAATTAGTTATCTGTATTGGTTATCTATATTGTTTGAGATTGTACTACAGTCAAAGATCCTGCTACATAAAAAGCAAAGTCATGGTGGGGGATATTGAATATATGAAAAAATAGACCACTTGAAATCTTTTAATGGCTTTCCTAGGTGTTTTTGTTGTCAAGACCACATGTTTAGTGTTCCTTTAACAGTTGTCTCTCTAACAGGTTTTTAGTACAGTCTGTATCAAGCTTGCTTTACTTAAATATGCAAGTTTTAAAATCGTTTGCTAATTGAGAGCTCAGTGAACTCAGGCTATATTATATTAAAACACAATTTAAAAATTACCAGTATTTTCATGGAACTATTTTATAGGGTCTGTTATAAATATTAACCATTATATTCTTAAAGTCAATGTGTGCCTGTTGTTTGGGTGATTTGCAAGCATTAGCTCAGACATGTAATTTATTTTTACCTTTAAACATGCATTTATTGTATGTCTACTCCCTAATTAAGGGAACCTAAGGCTTAGGATGCCTAAAAAGGCTTGCAATAGTTCCTGAGACTGTATAAATGTTGCAAAGTAATTTGGGTAAGGCAGTTTTAAACTGAGATGGAAAACAGTTAGCTACACATATATTTGCAGAGTGTTTCATTACCAGCGTTCCATATTAAAATTATAATGTTAGTATTATTGCCACTAAGATTGTGAAATACAATGTGTAAGCAAGTGGTTACAATTCAAGATCTATCTCTTCCAGTGTAATAAGGCCACAAAGGCAGAATGAAGTCGAGTTTAATTCTTTATTGGAAATTCTTTTCATGTATATTTATAGAGCAATTCCAATTTCCTTTTGCATATAAAACCACTTTAGGGAAAAAGATATTTACAGTTTTCCCGTAGAGAGATGCATATCATCTTATCTCTAGTGTAGGAATGTAGATGTGTGTTGTAAGCATTTCAAAATCTTCTGTAGAGACCTATTCTGCAGATAGTAATGCATATATAATGCCACACAAAATGAAAAATATGTGTGTTTGTAATAATTTATAGTGCCATAGAAGTGAAACACAGATATGAGTTTAATTGGTACTTCCACTTAAATGTATTTTTTTTTGTTTTGAGCATTCATGATTAAGATACTTTAAAAAATTGTCTATTACAGACTTTAATATTCTTGACATATTTAGGACAGAACAACCATTTTCTTCGTAAATTTGTAATAATTAGCAAGAAAACAATTGAAGTCTTTATCATTCTACAATATTTCCCTTTTGATAGTATTATATTCACTAAAATGACCCAACATGACTTGCATGACTATCTGAAAAAGGGAATTATTTCCCTTAGCAATCATGAGACCATAAAAGAATGCTGTTGCTTGTTCTCTTAGACAATGGGAAAGAATTATTGTTTAAAATAAGGTCTCATACCCCATGTATTTATCTTCTGTTTGGTGACTATTATCTTTTTTGGATAGTTGAATTCGGATGGAAAGCACAAGCTGTTCAAGTCATCTTTAAAATACTTCCTCCCAGTCTCCTATACGCATAAATCACATCCTAGGTTTACTAAGCTGAGCATTTCATTATAAACTCTTTTCTTTCCTAAAACATCAGGAAAATTTTTCAAAGGCTTCTGTCTCCCCTTTTTCAATAGAATGGTCAACAGAAAATACACATCTCAGTAGTTAGTCTCTCACTGAACAAAAGAGGGAAAAACACTAAAGCACCCAGCACAGTGGCAGTGAAATTGTTGAATAGCATCTCTAAAGGAGATACCAAAAAGTAACACCAAGCCCCTGTCTTGGACAACCTCCAAATAGGTCTAGATTTGCTACCAAACTTCTTATTTTTTTTTCTTCTTACCCACCCCAGCATATCTCTCAGCATTCACAGTGGAAATCCACATAAAAAAGCACATGGGCATAGGCTATTGGGCAAGTATAAATAGAATAAATCTACCAATCTGCTTGTACTAGAATAGAAGTAGTAACGAATAATAAATTTCCTGAACTTGTTCTCAAAATTGGAAATTAGGATTTTCTAAAGCATCATGGAGATTACATGAAGCATATTTTTACTTAGAAATGCAAGCAAAAAGAGTAACAAGGGAGGGGTGATTATATAAAATAAATTAACATGTAAACAGGTTTGTCACAAGATATTTGGTAAATGTCAAAAAGAAGTATTTTTAAAATATATTCACAAATTACCAAAATTAAATCTGGAAGTGGGAGTACCAGTATACTTAAAAAATATTTGATATTCATGGAAGAATTCTTATGGAACAGTTTTGTGTTTCCCAGAAATCTAAAGTTTTAAAGAACTGCCGATTCTTCACAGACAACTTTATGCTGTTCCTCACACTTTGCTCTCCATGGAAGCAATTATTCTCCATTCTAAGCACCAATGTACAAAAAAATAGCCTGTGCTGGACCTTCCTACCTACTGACAGTCTTTCATTTGAGAAAGACATTTACTTTTTGTTTTATTACTATCCCAAGTGCTCTTGCCCAAAGTCAACATGAGTCTGTACTAATTAATTTCACTAACTTTTTGATCAAGTTTTTAGCAGTGCTCTAATATATTACCTTCAGAGTGCTTTTTTTATAGGAAGAGCTGTGCTGAGTCTTAAAGGGAGCTAATAACATCCACCATTTTTATTTTCTCTCTTACAGTCTTTTTAAATGCATGCTTTTCTTATCAACAAAATTAAAATATTGATTAGATCTCATCCCCTTTGATTCCCTTGAGCAATATGATCTTCTACAAGCACATCTCTTGCCATTTCAATTAGCACACGTATGGAATGTCTCTGTTTTCTTCTAAAGCTGTTTCAGAGAATGCAATTTGGGTGTGGTTTTGCATTACCAAGAAGATCAAAGTAGATTATATCCCAGATTTGTTCTCTATCTTATGACTGAATCAACAAGAGCATTTTAATTTTTTTTTTATTTTTTACAGGCATGATCCTTATGAACCTTCAGTTTAATTACATAAATGATTCTATAATTAGAATAGAATAGAGACCACTGAGGTGTAAAAAAATTCTATATCCAATAACCAAAAATGTTTAAAATACTTTTTAACAAACCTATCAAATAGTCTGCTAAGATGTAAACATAAGGAACAATCAATTGCCATATTGCATTGCTGTTTGTTTTCAAATTGTGAACTTGTGAATTGAATTTTACTGTATTGGTGGATTTGGGGCAGACAGTTATATTAAAGTGTGCATGTAGTTCAGCTGAAATGTTGCCTTTTCAATTGAATATTTTATTGAGTCAGGATTATATGAAGACCCTGGATAATGTCTACAGATTATGCTTTCTTTCCTCAAGCACAGTTGTAGAAACAATTGAAGAGCAGTAATTGCCTGACTTTTATGCAAGTAGAGACGAAAGTCCATATGAGAGCATAGGAAGAGTTTAATCATCTCTAACTTATGTCTTTTAAAGTCGATTTATCTTCAATATGTTTTTTTAAGACCTGACAATATGAAAGTTTTAAGTTTGTGGACAGAGGAAGTATCTCTTTCTAGATGAAAACTTAGTAATTCTACCAACATTTTAATTTACACTTCCTGTTATGTCTCTTACTAAGTAATGTATGTTATTTAATTTCAGAAATTTGTGGAACATATTTAACATGTTTGTATATGTTTCTGTGCATTTGAATTTATATATGTATATATATACATAGAGATATATAATTTTAAGATTTCAGACAGTATGACAGAGGACCTCATCCCTCACTACATCTGTGCAGCAACAAAAATACCTTAATTCTCAGTGCTTCTAAGTATAAAATCCCAATGCTTGCTATTTAATGAAGATTGGACATAAAGCAGCACCAGTAATAATTAGTGAATAAATTATGCAAATATTTACTGTGAAATTGACTGTAGGGAGTGATGAGTCTATCAACAACTTGGATGAAAATTATCACATTTTTGAGAGTCCCATCTTTTTCATCTAAGGGTAGAAGTATCCTATATTACTACCTTTTAGAGTCCTTAAGTTAAAAGAATATAATTGAGCCCTCAGGGTTTATTTCACTCATTCATCCTTATAAAATTGCTAGAGTCTGGTATGTAATTTGCAAGGAATTATTATCTAAAACTCTAGTCCGGAACTGCTATGGAAATGTTTTTCTCAGTGAAAATAGAAGGGAATATTAATCTGTTCAAATATTTTGGTAAAATTTGATTATGAGGGAATACATGGTAACGTAATTCTCATCTCTAGTACAGGTTTACAATCTCTTAATATTTTGTTGCCTGTGTAAATGTATAAACTGAATGTTTAATAGAGATTTACTACTTCATCAGTTTATGGAGATATTTTTATACTGTGCCTATAGAAAATACTCTACTGACTGATGTATTATTAAGAAATAGTCTCTTTTTTATATCTGCCTTAATAACTGAGACATCATGATTGCTCTTTAAATGTCATAGGTTCCATTTAAAATGTCATAGTCCTGGTTCATAGTGCGTAGTGTAAAGTTATGGTGCTGTCATTCACTCATAATGCTTCTTTTTTCTTTTTTTTTTTTTTTTTTCCTTTTTTTTTTTTTAGTTTAACCAGTGGTCATAATCTTAATATCTTCACGAAAAATTTTTTTTGCCTTTTTTTTTTTTTTTTTAAGTTTATGAGTTGAAACATGTAAAGGCTTGCCAGTCACTGTGTGTATCAGGGAATGATACTGCCTTTTAAGAAGATTTTAATGAAAAACAATTCTACCTAGTGTTGCTTTTCCTACACTGGTTTTCTTCTAAATTTGATTTGATAACAAACTTAATGTGAAGAAGTTGCTTCATAAGTTGCTTCATATGAAGTACAGGCTGGCTTCCTTTTGTATCCTCTAGTCTTTCCATGGCATCACTGCAACAGATCCCACCTTTTCCTATATTCCCAGTTTCTCCATGTCAATTGAAAAAAATGTTGGAAACACTGAAGGCCAATCTTACAGGGAATATTATCCCTGATAGTGGATCACAGGTCTACTCTGATCCCTATTTCCATAATCACTAGCACATTTCCACAGGTTTTCATATGCCTAAAGAAGGAGGAAGCACTATAGAGGTGTTAAAATGTTTTTGTCCCTTATACTCTTTTTACTTCTCAAGTTGCAAGTCCAGTTCTCCAGTCTCTTTCTCACCTTATCTTGTGGTTTTGTGTCTGCCTAATGAAGTCTTTAAACCTTTATTGTGTGTAAGGAATATTTCTCTTCCTCTTTTCAGTTCTATTTATGGTACCTGGGCACACCTGTCTCACAAAACCTCATGAGACAGTCCAGCTTCACTGTCCATGTGGACCACAGCTGCTATCTCAGATTTTAAGTTCTTTTACAAGAATCATTCATACTGGAAATGTATTTAAACTGCATGTTTCTAACTTTTTTAATTAATATTATGACTTTTCAGGACGCTTAGAATAGAATGGAACTAACTGTCACGTTTTTCAACAATTGGAACAATCAGTTGCTACAAATTATATAGTGTATATATAAAAAAATTTGCTCCTTTTTCCAAAGTAGAAAAGAGTGGCATACAAAAACTCTTTTTCTCAAGACCTTTTAAAGCACTATTAATAGCATTCCTCTCTGTGATTAGCTTAATGTACTCATTAATTCTGCTTCTTGACATACACATCACAATAAGGAGGGAGAGTCAGATTTTAGGTCATCTGCAGGGTGTTACTTTTGTTATTTCCAGTGAACAAATAGATTTCTCAGTTTATTGCTTCCATTCTTGCTTATTTATTGCTTTCTTTTTGAAGTCCTAAAGTTATGGCAATGGTGTACTAAAAGAACCATGAAATTACTGGCCAAATGTAGGAGATAAATGAGACCTAGAAATAAACTTTTTTTAAATGTCAGTTTATGAGATTTTCTCCTACAAAATACAAGGGTGACCATCTTCAGAACAATATGGGGAAAGTTCAAAACAATCTCAGTGCATTAAGAATGCATATACACTTCTGAAAGCAGTAATAACATCATTTGCAGGTTAACACATTTTTAGAAGATCATGCCATCTACTATGTAAGCATCTTAGGCATTCCGTGTCAGGTTTTTGATTATGTATTTACAGGCTTGCTCCAAGTTTACATTTCTGCTAATTCCAGGTCTGATGGACATTGTAATCTGTTTGTGACTTCAGCACTGTTTTCTGGAGATGTTTTGCCTAAAAGACCATTCTGAATTCCATTCATAACTTTGCTCTTCCCTGTTTCAAAAACAGCATTGATGCGGCTGCACTTCATGGGTTGCATACTCTGGCAAACTTCTAATAGTCAAAATCAAAACTGACCATTTCTTACAAGAATCCTTGGTAGCCTTCAATTTATTTAAGAGTAGGTCTGCTTTCCTTGTTCTCTTTCATGGCTGTTCAAGTCATACTATAGTCCCAAATTAACAAGATAAAAATGGACAAAAAAAGAAAAGATACAACTGATATTTTATCAAATAAAAATGATCTTATACTTAGTTGTTTCTTTTTAAATTATAGCCATAAGAGCACTGAAGCAATTTAAAAGCAAGACTAATTCTTCTAGCAACACAGAAGTTGGTGACAGAGGGAAAGAGAAGAAATATTTGGAACATCAGAAAACAAAGAGGAATCACCATTTTCCAAAAATATGGCTAACAAAATACTCCTGGTTAAAATATGATGATGAAAGGGGAATAATGTATTGTGTGCCATGTCGTAAACATAATGTGGATTTGGAGCAAAATATTCATAATTTTTGTTCTGGCACTGATGACTTCAATCTTGGATTTATAGACACACACCAGAGTAGTGAAGCTCATGCTTGGGCTACCTGCATGGAAGCTGCCAGTTCTGCTTCACAAGATACAGCTTCTGCTGAGCAGATGTTGAAGAGCATGAACCCCATAACACTGGGTAGAGTAGAAAATATTTTTAGAAGATACCATGCTATTGCTAAATCTGGCTCTCCCTATATAGACCCTGACAGAATGTGCAAACCAGATAAACTTTAACATGACCTTTCTCAGGCATGTCCTTCTGAAGACTTCCCTACAGAGACAGAACAGATCCATCTTCCCATTCCTGATTATCATTGCACAAATTAGTTGTCCCATAACACGTACTCTTACAGACAGAATGTGACTAATTTGCTTCACGGCTTGAACTACTTTTTATTGCCCTGTAAGAATATTTGTAAGGGTTGCAATAAGATCACCATATCCTGATTTTTAATCTAGGAGCTGAGAATGAATATGGTTTAGAGAATATATATTTTCATATTTCTACATATTCTAAATGCATCTTTCTACTTGATAATTTCAAAAGGTAAAGCATACCAGCAGAATATATTTCTACCATCAAGGAAATAGCAGTGATTTATATCAAAAGATGGCTAAAATTAAATCATTAAAGACCCTTCTTGGTTCCTCCAACAGCAAATGACATGTATTACAGGTAATTTGGGAGAAGTGAATATGAGGTCATTCACCTTTGAATCAATCATTTGCTAAATCAAGATAATTCTACTTTCAATATAAAATGTATGTAGTAATAGCAAAAGATACCCAATGCTTCACACCCTACTGTACTCCTCAGCTCTGCTCTGTACTGTGCTATGTTGTACCACAAAAACACACACACACACACACACACACACATATATATATACATACAGTCTCTTACTGGTGTTTTGCATAGATGTTCATGCTTCTTCTGGGTATATAAAATACTCTTATGTATATATACACATCAGAAATGGAGTAGGTTTTGAAGGAATGCCTCATTAAAGCATATTGGTCCACTCCAGTAGAGTTAATCTCTGACAGAAACAGAGATCGGTACTGTACATTGTATAAAATATCTGAACTTGTGATTTCACAGACAAAAAAAAATGTTTAGATATACTTTGCCTAATAAGCAACAGGATATATATTTCATGGATTACCTTATTAGATATGTGGCTTGTATATATTAAAATTGTGAATTTAAGGGTTTTCTTTTAAATCACATAATACCAAGAGGGTTCTTTTCTCTCAAAATGTTCAAATTGAGATTTTTAACAATGCTAAGATTAGAAAAAGTTTGAAAATGTGTCCCAAGGATGCCCAACAGGTGAAAACAAAAAAAAAGAAATAAAAACAAAAAAATGGTGATTCTGTATCTGTAACACTGAAGTCACCTCCATGATGCAGAGCAGGAACATATTTTCTCATACTCTTCATCCATGAAACTAGCAGAATTCTTTCAACTTCATGTCTCAGGAGATATATTCTAAATCTGTGATGATTCTTGCTGTTTTCTTTTGGACAGTCTTTAGGTTACATCCGTCGTTATTGATCTAGAATTTCCAAAGTGGTATTGTAGCAGAGCCTTAACATCTGGGTGGGGGGAGGGGGAAAGAAATATTATTTCCAGTGACTTCCCATGTACTTTCTTGTATTATTGTAAAATGTTATAATCCTTAGAGATTTTTCTGTAGAAATTTTACTTTGGCAGTAGGATTCCCTTTGGGACATTTATTCAGTTCATTATGTCAGCCCAGTGAGGCACTTGACATTTATCTTTATTGGATAGTGTCCTTTTATTCTAGACTTTATCTCCAGTTTTTGTAGTTCACTTTGAATTCTAATCCTGTTCTCTAATGTGCTAGAAGTCTGTTCCTGAATAGTTTTATCTACAGTGTAATAAGTGTATCAATTTGTGCAGTCCATTTCCAAAAAGTACTTTGATCTGTTTCTGGAAGCTTACTTACTGACCCTGACCGTCTCTCCAGTTTTTCAAAATCTTTATGAATACTGATTCTTTTCACACGATGCCTACTGCTCCTTCTAATTAAAAATGTTTAATTTTCTACCCAGTCTCCTACATTATTCAACTAAAACTTAATAGGTTTGGTGTCTTTTATTTTGTACTTACAAAAGGATTTTGTAAAGACCATACCTTTTTTGAAATCAGTCTTTCTAAGTGGAAAAAGCCAGTTCTGGGAATTGTCTTCCTTTTTCTTCCTAGAGGACTTTTTTTTTTTTTTCACTGCTTGCAGAGTACCATTTGCAGACACCAGTATTCTTTTCTGGGTACTGTCTGTGTAGCTGCCCACTCTCAGCATCTCTCCGTGGTTATGAAGCACTGACAGCCCTTGAACTGAAATGATGAGTCACCTCTTGTTTGATATTATAATCAGATGCTCAAAAACAGTTTTATGCTCTGTAATATATACCCAAATCCACTAAGTCTAGACAAAGTACCTAACAACACAGTAAGGAACATATGTTTATGAGGAATTTCTTTCTCTGGGACTGCCTCATTCCTCCTACATATGTCAGTAGGAGGAATTAAGTAACAGTCCATTTGAAGATTTTGAACTACTATTACTTTGGAATTGTCTGTCATCAGATGTTTCAGGAGGAATAATGTAAAAGAAATTGCCCTACACATCAGTAGCAAAAGTAGTTAATATAAACAATTATATAGTTTATGTAAGTTGTGATTTAGATTGCAATCCTTTAATCCCATCTCAGACATTAATTCTGATGCAAGTTCTTTAAATTCCATGTCTCTCAGATACTTTCAATGTATGTTTCTGAAGTCATGTAGCTTCACAAAAAATGATATGTGGATATTATTATCCTTTTAGAATTCTGTGAAGAAAATCAAAATTAAATTTCATTTCAGGAAGTCAAAAAATCATAAATACAGGAACTACATATTTGTTTTCATGTAAGGAGATGATAGTGGGAGTTAAACAGTTTAAAATATAAGATGGTGTGACAGAAAGCTAAGTTAGACTAGCAGTAATCAAATGGAAAGGGAAATGTTTAGCAAAAAGACTAAAATTATTAGCTGGGCTATTTATTTAAAGCACTAGAAAATCTGATACTGCAAAGAAGATGTAAACATTTTCCCTGTAGTGTTTTTTGTTCACTGGCTCCTTCATGCACAATAGCCTGTTTTCCCCATGGATCACTAAAATGCTACCTGGTTTATGGAATCTTAGATTAAGTGGCCCAGTAATGATGCTCCTGTGATGCAGACTTCATTGTGCTATATGGAAATAATGAGAATTTAAGTTTTCATGAAAAAATCAAATTTCTGTTGACCTTAAAATGATTATATTAACAATCCAAGGTGCTTCAGGAAACAGCACATGATTTATCACATTTTTTAGAAGATGTTATTTCTCAATGCAGATAACATGAAAACTTTCAAGATATCTGAAAACTGTTACCAGTCTGACAGTATTTTTTTCCCCAGCTTTTGCTTTCATGCTGAAATTTGGGGGAGGATTTGAAGGCTTCAGGTCCAGGTGTTTCTCCCTTCCTTCTTCCTATCCCAACAGACTGAGCTTCCCAAATCTACTTTCGTCCTTTTCTCTCCAAGTTTATATCTGTATAGGATTCTACTGTATTAAGATGTGCTGAGGGCATTAATCCTGGTTTTCCTGATTGGAGATAGACAGGTCTAAAGAGATGCAGAGTATTCATTCAAATTGGCAAATTGATTTTGAACAATGACACAATGAAATTAATACTCAAACCCATTCTTTATATTCCTATCACATATCTTTTTCATAAACCTAAATTTCACTTCACTGTTTCACTTCAAACAAAGTGTCTTAGCCATAGAATGAGCACAGCTTTGCCTTTTGAAATAGACAAGAAGTTTGACTGGAAAAAGGAAAAAAATAAGTAAGTCTTCCCAGCATTTCACTGATTGTGTTTGCTTTTAAAGGTAATCTAAAAGCTCCTGTTTTGATGCCATGGAATAGATCACAACCTGACCAATTCAGCTTTATCTCTCAAAATTTAAATAACTTGGAACTTCTTTTACATTTTTTGTTGTTACTGCAGAGCTTTTGCAGTAAACTCTCACTGACCCAGCAAAGTCCATTTCTGAAAGAAAAGACTCATATCTGTTTTTTTAAAATTTTTATACATAATTTTGTGCTTTGATACCATACATGAAGGTTGAAGTTTCTGTTTGCTCATAAGCAAATCTATTCCTGCTTTTTAAAAAATAGGATTTGCTGCACTTAACTGATATTTTTCTTAGGATTTTTTAAAAATAAAATTAATGGAGCTATTTCTAACTCCCAAATGTGAGTCCTGAGAAGCTTTTCAAACAGTTGAATTTTGTTTCAGAATTCAACAGATAACAGTGCATGTTTTCTACTCTATTCTCTAGATAATGCTTGCTTTAAAGAGTGAAGATGGATTTATGATTGATTAAAATAGAGCAGAGTGGAAGAAAATGTTGTTAGGTATTCAATACACAGAACTCTGAGAGATTGGTGTCTGTGAATATTCATTAACTGTCAGTGCAAACCATGTGAGGATAGATTAGTGATCATAATGCAGATCAGGAAAGTACCAGAAGAACTGCAACGCAGTGAAATATTTGAAATTTTGCTATTAGGTAGGTCACATATGATTAATTTTAAATAAGGAGATTTTATGTTTGGTTTGGAAAATATTAGCATTATCAATAGTGCATAATAGGAAAGTAAATAACTTTCTGATATGGCCATTAAAATTTAATCTATTTTTTTTTAACAGAAGAGGTCTATTTAAAGTCTAAACATATTTCTATATTGGTTTTTATTAGGTCTTATACCAAAGAAAGTATTTATTGAAACTCTTTGTGGCTTGGTTAATTTGAATCTTGGAATAAATTGCTTTCCTGATGCATGGAAGAACTTAACACTTGCAGATGTAAGTGAACCCCTATATTCTCTTCAACTGGAATATTGGTTTGCGTAGAAGATGCAGCATTGTCCTTAGTATGATAAAATGAAGATTATAATATTATAGGATATTATTAGTTATTATTTAAAATTCTTCTGTTTCACTAGGGAAGGATCATTGAAGTGACTGTGCCAAACATTTTGTCAGCATTTTATTTATTTACAATTTGCAAATTATTTCAGTGCTTAAGACACCATCCAAGGTTTTCAGATTTGGAAACATGAAAACTTTCAAATCCTTCATACTGAATTAATTTCTCTTTCAGATTCAAACATCAGATGTTACTGGCAAACCTACAGAATGAAAATATTTACTTGTGTTGGCATGTTTGAATAACTATTTCTGACAGTAAACCATTATTCACATTAAGATTTAATTGGATTTCACATGATTTTATCATTTTATTCATATATTCTTTACACAGATGAAGTGCATGAGTAAAACATTTTAATGCTAAAGTGGTGTAGTTCCAGTGAGTTTAGTAAAAACTAGTCACATCTGTCATCTTGACTATATAGAAGCTATTTTCAGCGCAGGAAATTAATTATCAAAGGAAAGCTATCAGTCAAACATTGCCTATTAATAGATGAAATGTGCGTGTATCCCATATTCTGTATTCTTTGAAAATTTTTAGTGCTTATAAATCCTATCTTTATTTTAGTAATAGAATTTTCTTTCCTTAAAAGAGCCAGTTTTAAAAGAGACTTTTAAATTTATCATGGAAGCAAGAACTTACTTCCAAAAGGAAATTCTCAGGCTAAGGTATATATAAATGCCTATTTGTGCACTCAGAGTGTTTATTTAGAGTGGTATCAACTGCACATGGCAGTTGACACACAGTGGCCTGTGGCCTGTTTTGCTTTGTGAAACCTCACTGCAGAATCTTGTTCATCCTGCCCAGGAAAATATCTAAGGATACACAGAATACTGAAAGACTGTTTATGTACACTTGTATTTTGACAATATTTGCTATTTTGGTTTTGTAGTTAGAAAATCTGGCATCTGAATTCACAGTGAACTCAGAACTTATTGACTGGCGCAAATTCTTGCTGGCAGCAGCACAGCCTTGGCCAGTACCATCTGTGACACAACTCCTCCAAACACTGCATGTCTTCAAATCTGTTGATGTCACTGGATCAGGCTTCATTACACAGGCACACTATTTACAGGTTATAATCCTTTTAATTTTTCATTCAAATTTTATTTTGTTAAACTCCCTGAATTGAATGATATGTTGTTTGCTTTATTCACCTTGAGAAACTCAATTTGAATTTTAAATGCTTTAGGTCTGAGGGAACTTTGTAGTGATAAGTGTTTTCTGGAAATTGATGGCCTAATATGTATCTTGTCCATAGTTCCACAAATCAGGCTACTTAAACATACTTTTAACTTGATTTTCCTACTTTTCCCATAAATTAATCTCAAGTGAAAATCCTTTCTGTTTTAAAGAAACCATTCTGTGTGCATTTTGATGACTGTTAACTTACTTGACTTGATATGACTTGAAATAAGGATTTCAGTTTCATCTCATCCACTGCATTTTAATTAAATGTTTCTAGATTTTTTCCAAGAATTAATTTTCTCAAGATCATTCCTCAACCCTTGAATATGTGGAAAATTATAAAATTATTTGATCATTTTTCTGAAGACAAATTCTGTTTGAATTGTCACATAGTTCAGCAAGATTTTTCAGAAAGAGTATTATGAGTACATTTTTGTTCTTTCAGCAAAATTCTGCTCATTTTCACTTTTATTTTGCATTTTAATTATACTTCGAATGATACTGGTTCACTCTCTTGGGCTATACTAACTGTAAGTATCATATATTTACACAGAAAGGTGTCTGTAGATATTCCAGTCTTGCCAGTTTCTGTATTTGTTTGGTGATAGTAAATATAATTTTCCAACTGTTTTGAATAAATTTCATAGAAAATTTATTGTAATTAGTTTTCCACTCACCTAGCATTGGTTTTTAAAGAAGAAAAAATAAAAGCTGTGTTAGTCCAGAGGCCTGCAATTTTCAGAACTTCTTTGATTAATTTAAAACTTCCAGGAGCACCTGCCAATCCCTGCCCACCACAGACTTTCTAAGAAACAAACTCTGCAAGGCCAGAAAACCCACAAAAAATGCAGGTCTATGTGCATTTCTTTTTCTATTGTAAGTTTTCCTGAAGAGCAAATAAGCTAGCAGTTACAAGACATGCAGACCAAGAACGTACATTTTTATCACAGGATCCTATTTCAAATATAATATTAACTGAGCAATTAATTTAATCACTTCAATATTACAAGACAGTCAATTTGCAATAAACAACTGGTTTGAATAACCTTCCACTGGGAATTTCAGCTGCTTCACCTGTCCTCTCTGCATCTACACTGGTAAACTACACAGTACCAGGGCCCACCTCCAGGTAATGGTGGTGAGTTCTCCCTGCTGTAATGTTGTTTGTACAACCTGGAGTAACTCACACAAGTGAATTTTTCTGTAGGAAGTTTGTTCATGCCTACCCTAGCTTATCCTTCCTGTGTTTAGTACTACAGAATTGGTTCTGGGCACTTTTCCAGTTTTAGCTCTGGCTGTGTAGGACTCTTGGTCATCTTGCTGGGAGCAGGCAAGCATGGGGAGAGGTCCATCCTTCATCATACTGAATGGTATGGACATTTTCTTCTAAAAGTACAGTCTGGACAAAAGCTGTAGGGGTTAGCAAAGGATATCCTAAAAGGAAGAAACCAGAAGATACACAGAAACTCCGTATCATATTCTGCTCCTTCAGCAGCATAGATTTACAAGTACATAATTAATTTTCACCTTTTTCAAAAGCATATATTCACTTCTATCCTATTTGATTTTCAGTAATTTCTCAAGTATCTGTTACAACATACAAACAGCTACTTAATTAATCTCATCATTATATATTAATAACAAATTCAGTTTGATTAAATCCAGAAATTAGGCTTTTATAGCCTGTGTGTTGAACAGCTAGAGTATAAAGACCACCTTATTTCAATGTGTGAAAATAAACAAAGTTATTTGTTTATTTATTTATTTATTTATTTTCTTATGAAATCAGGTTGGCTTATGGTTTAATGGAAATGAAGATCTAAGCATAACAGAAAATTGCGAAGAATCTGTGTCTTTAGAAAGGCTAAAACACCTCATAAAGGTAACTGAAAACATAGGTATTTTCATGAAATCACTATTCAAACATGATAGGTCTCATTTCAGAATTTTTTGAGTCTCTTTTTTTCAATAAGTCCTGCCTTTTTTTTTTTTTTTTTTCAAGTCAAGTGGTGCTTCAGAATAATGCAGAAAGGAATCCAAGAGTCAGCCTTGAGCATTCTAAATCATAGTGTGCTCAGAAAGACTTAATTACTCCTGTTCTTTGTTCAATGACATTAATTTTGCTACACAGCAACCAGCTTTGTAAAGAATGGGACAAAAATGACCACTGCATCTGAGCTCATAGAATTTTCTATGAAAGAGGGGGCTAATAATAATCTGAATTCAAAAAAATGCTTTGAACATATTTATCATGATACAAGGGTTTATTTCTGTCTTTTCTGCGAAACTCAATTTCTATTTCCTTGAATTACTTAACACACATTTATGATTTATCACAGCCTTGATTTGTACAGCCTCAAAATGTTCTTAAGTATAGTAGTTCTTATTAGCAGTAATTACTATATTTCATGCTTTTCTTTACAGTCCTTGATTTGTATTTCATTTAAGTCCACTTATAGAAATTAATTTGCTTATTTTTGCCCTTTTATAGTTTTTCTTCCATTTATTTGCGGATACCAAAAAAGACCCTGCTCTTCTGGACTATATTGAGATGCTGCTTTATTTCGCCTCCCACTCTGATCCAGTTGAAGGCGTATACAGAGCACTTAGCGTTGCTACTGGAACATACATTCACAGAAAAA